AAAAACTAAATATGGCAATGTCAGATATTTCCAATACCATGCAGCCCTAGTACAAACACTCATACAGCTCAGTTTGCTTATTAATGCATCACACACACACACACACAGAAAGAGAAGACTGCATCACCACACACCTTTCACACAGGAAGTGAGCTTTAAAAGCAGTTTCAGTATTAGCAATATCTGTTCTAGTGGACCTTTATTCTTCTGCTTATGGAGAGCCAAAAGCAGAGCGGCATGATACTAAATATTACATATGCAGTATTATTGTTCAGTATGGCAATGTATGTTTTATGCAATAATATTGTATGATGATATACAGTTTATGAAATTTTGTTGAGTATTGTGATAACAATATTTCTTATGATATAACCTTTCCTTAGAAAAATGCTATTTTATTAGCTCTGCTTTTAATCATTTATTTATTTAAGGATATTAAAATAAACAGGTAAAAAACATTTTTCTGATCTAATTAATTCTAATTCAGACTAAAAAAACTGTCGAGGTGCAAACATTTGAAAAAACACTTGGTAGATATTCTGACTCGGATTGGCTGTTGTTATTTGTGACTCCGCCCATAAGTGGTAATTTTCAGCTCGGGGTTCACCTTTGGGCCACTCTAGCTAATAGCATTTACATTTAGTCATTTAGTCATTTAGCTGATGCTTTTATCCAAAGCGACTTACAAATGAGGACAAGGAAGCAATTTACACAACTATAAGAGCAACAATGAATAAGTGCTATAGGCAAGTTTCAGGTGTGTAAAGAAAGTGTAAGAAGCAAAACATTAGTAATTATTATAATTTTTTTTTGTAGTTAGTGGAGGAGTCAGAGTTTTTAGTCGTTTCTTGAAGACAGCGAGTGACTCTGCTGTTCTGATGCAGTCAGGGAGTTCATTCCACCAACTGGGCAGATTGAGTGCGAGAGTTCGGGAAAGTGATTTCTTCCCTCTTTGTGATGGAACCACGAGGCGACGTTCATTCACAGAACGCAAGTTTCTCGAGGGCACATAGATCTGCAGAAGTGAGAGCAGATAAGAAGGAGCAAAGCCTGAATTGATTTTATATATATATATATATATATATATATATATATATATATATATATATATGTATATAAAATGTAAATTTTTTTAATTAAGAAAAGGTTTTAAATGCGGTCTTAACTTGCTGTCTGCTGTCTATTTAGATCAGATCCTCTGTTATTACTATAAACATGATCCTAATGTGCAAATGTGAAAAAAATCAATCGTGTTTTAAACAGATTAGCAGAAACACATTCACACACGCGCAGCTTAAACATTTGCTCTAAAGTACATGTTTACTCAGAGCTGAACACTCACAATGGTCTTTTACCTTTTTATTGACACATTTCACAACTTGACCAGAGTAAACTATGAGTGTGATCAAATCCCACGACACAAGCCAGTAAATCCATGTCTGTTTAGGTTTACAGTAAGCTCAAGGTAAACATGTAGTATAATCAGAGCATGGAAACTCGTGTGATTTGATTTTATGACCGCAATGAAGCTTGGCAGATACACAATCTGAGTAAGATGAAGCCTTATGAGATTCTTATCATCATAAATCACAGCTAGTGTGCAATCTCCATGATGTGAACGTGACTAACATGACCTGAGGAACTGCTGAGTTCACCTGACCTGACAAGAATGACAAGTATCTACAATAACGCCCTCTTTTACTCAGATTCTTAAAAAGATTCAACTGCTTAATTCTCAAGCATGAAGCACAAAATAAAATCTTTCTACAACCATCTACAGTACAACACGCTAACATTCAACCATCTACAACACACTTTAGCAACCACCTACAACACCCTAACAACACCTACAACATCATAGCAAACCACTTGCGACATCTCAAAATACCATAACAAATAACTACAACACCATAGCAGCCACCTCAACTTCCCAACTCCATATAACATCATAGCAACCCTGTACAATTCAATTCAATATAGATTATGTCAAAGCAGCTTAACATAGCTCTAGTAAGACATCAAAGCGTGACATATTTGCACGGGAAAATATCACTTACACAAAAAATAAATAGCATAACATTAAATATACAAATATATAGAGGTTTAACAATACACTACCTGACAAAAGTCTTGTTGTTTATCCCAGTCGTAAGAGCAGCAAATAATAACTTGACTTCTAGTTGATAATTTAGAAAAGTGTCAGAAGGTTTTCCCTATGAATCATCTGTTAATCTGCATCTTAATCATCACTAATACTGCAGAAAACCTACTGGAACCAGCATGGAGCCAAGATTCTCACATAAATCAGTCAAGTTTGGTAAGGTAAAACTCATGGTATAGGGTCATATTCAGTATGGGGGCGTGCATAAGATCTGCAGAGCGCATGGCAACATCCTGAGGTATCAAGACATTTGTGCTGCCCATTACATTACAAACCACAGGAGAGGGCAGATTCTCCAGCAGGATAGCGCTCCTCATGCTTCAGCCTCCACATCAAAGATCCTGAAAGCAAAGAAGGTCAAGCTGCTCCAGAATTGGCCAGCCCAGTCACCAGACATGAACATTGTAGAGCATGTCCTGGGTAAGATGAAGGAGGAGGCATTGAAGATGAACACAAAGAGTCTTGATGAACTCTGGGAGTCCTGCAGGAACGCTTTCTTCTTCATTCCAGATGACTTTATTAATCAGTGATTTGAGTCATGTCAGAGATGTATGGATGCAGTCCTCCAAGCTCATGATGGAGTCAGACACAATATTCATTCTGTCTCCACTGCAGCAGGACTTTATATTCTATACTGGACATTATTTCTGTTCAGTGATGAGACTTTAAGCAGAGTCAGATCTTACTGTCCTAATCAAATCATTAATAATCAAGGCATGATCAGATTTTATTGTGCTCAAATAAGCTTCATCTAGAGGCCTTTGCCTTTCATATAAGACACTTCTGATACCAAATGATCAACTAGAAGTCAAATCATTATTTGCTGTTCCTAAAACTCGGATAGGCGACAAGACTTGTATACGGCCATTTTTTAGCTATTTCCGCATGCAGGGTGATGTGCTGGAGAATAATACTGCAGTCTGTGGATGGTTCCTGTCTGGGGTTATTTTGAGGTGATGTTCCTGATCCCCAGAGTTGAGTAATTCTCACTGGTTATTTCTGACCGTTATTGGACACCTGTAAACGTCAGTCTGCCCGTCTCCACAACTGACCACACAACAGCCTCACAGAACCAAAACATGAGTGAGCAATGGGCAAAAACACAACATTAAACTCCTGTCTCCACCTGCTAACATGCATTCAGATGAGGCTCTTTCATTGAGATTCCTCTCATGTCATTACACTAGACCAGGGGTGTCCAAACTCGGTCCTGGAAGGCGGGTGTCCTGCAAAGTTTAGTTCCAACCCAAATCAGACACAGCTGGGCTAACTAAGCTCTTAGACTTTCTAGAAACATCCATGCAGGAGTGTTGAGGCAAGTTGAAGCCTAAAATTGCCGGACACCGGCTCTCCAGGATCTGCACTACACAGCACTACTGAATGAATGGATGAATCCATGTGAAAATATGATCAATAGATATGTTTCCATCCCACGACGCAAATAAGACTTATGCACAAAACTTAAACATTGCATAACATTTAAGAATAAAGCAGCGTTTCCATCCAATGACTCGAGTTTTGGTCTTTATCTCTACAAAAAGGTATTAATGGGTAATTTAATAAATAATAATAATACTCTGTATATTTACTGTTTACATTAGGGTGAGGGTTGAGTTTAGAATTGGGGTTAGTAAAATACAATTTAATGTGTACTTTAATAAATAATATGAATGACACTGGGTATAATTAATATTTTTTTATCACTGTGAGGGTTGGGTTTAGGGTTGGGGTGGGAGTAGACGTTAATAAACTACAATTTAATGGATAATTTTATAATTAATATGAATAATACTCAATATAATTACTGTTTTTACATTACTGTGAGGGTTGGGATGGGGTAGTAGACATTAATAAAATAATACTTAATGGGTAATAATTTATTAAATAATATGAACAATACTCTGTATATTTACTGTTTTTACATTACTGTGAGGGTTGGGATGGGGTAGTAGACGTTAATAAAATACAGTTTGATGGGTAATTTATTAAATAATATGAACAATACTCTGTATATTTACTGTTTTTACTTTACTTTGAGGGTTGGTGTGGGGTAGACGTTAATAAAATATTATTTAATAGGTAATTGTATGAATAATATGAATGACACCTGTCATGACTACTGTCTTTACATTACTGTGAGGGTTGGGTTTAGGGTTGGGATGGGGTAGATATTAATAAAACACAAATTTAATGTGTACTTTGATAAATAATATGTATGACACTCGGTATAATTAATGTTTTACATTACTGTGAGGGTTAGTGTGGGGTAGATGTTAATAAAATACCATTTAATGAGTAATTTAATAAATAATATGAATGACACATGGCATGACTACTGTTTTTACATTACTGTAATGGTTGGGTTTAGGTTTGGGGTTAATAAAACACAATTTAATGTGTAATTGTATAAATAATATGAATAATACGCTGTATATTTAGTGTTTTTACATTACTGTGAGGGTTGGGGTTCGGGGTTAATAAAATACAATTTAATAGGTAATTTAATAAATAATTTGAATAATACTCTGTTTAATTACAGTTTTACATCACTGTGATCATGATGGTTTGGTAAATAAATAATTCTTGTTTGCTTCCCACCGCAGCTGTATCCCTTTTAGCAACAAGCCCTTGAAAGTCTGCAGAAACTGTGTGTTTCTGTTTCTCAATGTGCATTAACTGGACAGAAAGCACTATTATGATGCAAGCACTGATGATGCAAGTGTGTGATATTGTCATGCATTAAGAAAAGCCACACCTAACATGAAAACAAGATCTGACAAGCGCCCTGCAGCATTGAGCAATGCCTCCAGATGAAGCATGAGGAAAACAGCGGGCTCACCCAATGTCTTGACGGCGATCTGTCGGGTGAGCGGCGGCGGCAGGTTGATGCACACCAGATCCACATCCGGATGCAGCAGCACGTCATCGATCCGGTTGGTGTAGAAAGGCACGTTCATGTCGCGCGCGAGCTCCTCCGCCTCCTCCTGCGTGCGACCCCACAGCGCCTTCACCGAGAAACCCTCGCCCTTCAGCAGAGGGATGATGACCCGGGCCGTCAGGCTGGTCCCGAACACACCCACACCGGGCAACATGACCGGACAGAGGCTCACACAACACCTGAGGCTGCGGGACACCCGGCGGGCGCGCGCTCGAACCCGTGCACGGCGATGACCATTGCGTCCTCGCGCTTTATTAACGGCTCAAATTCAAAACAAATGAGAAAATCAACAACTATTCATTCAAATGAACCAGGATGAAGGTGATAATCCAGCCTGCAAATATTTAAAATCAATATACGCGATGATGATGATGTAATATTAACGTTATATCTCCACTGAATCCTCCGCGTCGGTTTCCGCGCGTCGCGTTCATTCGGTATCATCATCCGGGGTCAATATGAGGCGTTGAAAATGATATCTTGAATGATTAAATGTTGCTGTAAGCGTCTCCGAAGCTCTCGGTATCAATATTGCGATCATCTACTGCGGCCGGTGCAGAGTTCCGCCCTCTCCGTTAACTCCTTCACTACCGGACGCTTTAAATACTATGGCGAAGGCTTTGCGCGAGAATATTAATATCGCAGGGTGACGTTGGAGAAAGCGCACGTTCTGATTGGCCGTGAGTATGTGGGCGCTGGGGGAGTTGGCGAATTGTGTGTTGACAAAGGCGGGGTTTGGGAGTATTTATTGCGTTACGTAATAGGACGCGGGAAGGTTACCTAGCAACGTCAGCATGGTTTAATGCGTAATATTTGTAAGCAAAGCCTACGCCGTAGTAGGAGATGAGAGACAGCGAAATCTGCACAGCGCGATTGATCACAGCGGGACTCTGAGATCACGATTATTCCCTTTAAAAAGATACATTAAATAGAGCGCAGTGAGGGATATATACATATATATAATTAAATAATATTTATATTTAACAATTATTTAACCTATAATGTTTATAATAAATATCAAAATTCTTGACTGGAGAGACTAACTTATATCATCAAAGGCAAGCAGAAGGACTTTATCTTTGGGAACCATATATGAATATTATGTAAATTGTATTTGTGAACATGTTTTTTTATTTCTATTTATTTATTTTTTTTTGTATTATTGTTTTTGTCATGCACATGTATATATTGATTATTATATTTTTTACCTATGCTATTAAAATGTGTATATGTGTGTATGTATATGTGTATATACATATATAAGAAGGGTGTAGATATGTGCTGTGTAGGCTGCATTGTTGTTGTATGCCTAGTTAATGGGGAGAAAAGGGAAAACAATCAATAAACATAAGGAAAAAAACATATTTAAATTATTCATATTTATATTAGAAATTAAATCTCAAACATTAATAATAATAATAATAATAAAATAGTATTTTTATTTTTATATATATGTGCAGTGATGAAAACACAATAACCTTGAGAGATCAGAATTTATAGTTGTTTAAAAATATTTTAGAAATTAAATAGAGCACAGTAAGGAACTAAAGGCTGATTATATATATTTAAAATAAAATTAACATTAAACAAATAATGTTTACATTTACCTACGTTTATATTTAATCATTCACTCATTTTCCTTCAGCTTTGTTCCTTTTTTTAATCTGGGGTTGCCACAGCGGAATGAACTGCCAACTTGTCCAGCATATGTTTTACGCAGGGGATGCCCTTCCAGCTGTAACCCAGTGTGCTGTGAAACACCCATACACACTCATTCACACACACACACTACACTACAATACACTACAGCCAATTTAGTTAATCAATTCCCCTATAGTGCATGTGTTTGGACTGTGGGGGAAACCCACGCCAACACGGAGAACATGCAGACTCCACACAGAACTGCCAAATGACATAATATTTACATTTTATTACACTTATTTTTTATCTTTTTTTATAATAATATAGTTGATAAAAAGTGAAATCTTAACCTTCATGACTGTAGGAATGTCACCATCTTGGGCTTATCAAAATACAAAAAGATTAATATATCAAACATTAAACATTAACTATTTATATTTTCTACATTTATAATAGTTAATAAAGTGAACTTAAACTATATTCAACTATAAAACATTATATAAGATGAAGAAATACAAATATTTTAGCTTTTTTTTTTACCTTACCTAAATATTTTGTTTGGCAGAATGGTGGCGCAGTGGTTAGCACTGTGGCCTTACAGCACAAAGGTTGCTGGTTTGAGTCTCGGCTGTGTTGGCATGGGTTTCCTCCTGGTGCTCTGGTTTACACCCACAGTCCAAACACATGCGCTATAGGGGAATTGGGTAAGTCAAATTGTCCATGTGTGTGGTTGATGGAAGGGTATCTGATGTGTAAAACATATGCTGGAATAGTTAGGGGTTCATTCCGCTGTGGCGACCACTAATTAATAAAGGGACTAAACCAAAAGAAAAATGAATGAAGGAATATTAATATTAATGTAAAAATATAAACCATTACATCAGCAATAAAGTACCTCAAAGCCCTAACTCTGCACAGTTTCCTAAAGCGATGTAAGCATGAGTCAATATTCAGATGGAAAATACAGTAGCAGCGAGTCGATATCTGTCTGCTTCTGCTGCCGGGGGGTTTCTGGGTTTCTCCTGAACCTGCTGATACAGAGTGAGAGAGGATGATGAAGATGAACGAGTACTGTGAATCAGGAACGCTGAATCTGAGCTGTGATCTCTGTGTTTGTCCATCAGTGAGTTCATGAAGATTTAATGAGTCGCTCGTGTGTCTGTGATCTGACTGGAGATCATGTGCTGATCATCTGATTGCGAAAAACACCAAAACCCCAGAGCAGAGCTGCTTTAGAAACAGGATGACACCCTCAGGAGATATTCATGTGTTAAAGGAGACCTATTATGCAGAAATCACTTTTATAAGGGGTTTAAACACAGTTGTATGGCAACAGTCTGAATATAGCAGCATCTATCAGTCAAATTGTATTCATTGTACTTGTTCCTAATCAAACCTGACATTCTCCCTTTGTACGTGTAATCAGAAGGGGAAAGCCCCGCCCACTAGTGCCCATCTCTCCCTCATTAGCATAGGATGTTAGTCTTGTTTTTGAATCTGCCACTATGCTGACACACAGGCATTTCTGGCTCCGCCCTCTTCTGAAAAGAGCACAATCTCATTTAAATTTAAAGCGACAGACTCCAAAACACCACAATTAGCCTACAAGGATCAGTTTCACAGAGGTAGAAACATTATTGGTGTGGTATTTTGAGCTAAATTGAGTTGTAACTTGTTTACATCTTGTATAAAGAAGTATGATAGGTCTCTTTTAATCCTTCTACTAATAATTCTGTGCGATTATAGTTGAAGTTCAGTGTTAATTGTCTATTTTTTTAAATGACTACAATCTAATATAAAAATTAGCAATTATTCCATAAAGTCTGCATTGAAATTAAAGTTTATTTATTTTAAAATAATATACAATGTTTAATGTTTGTATATAATATACACTCAACGGCCACTTTATTAGGTACACCTTACTAGTATCGAGTTAGACCCCTTTTGCCTTCAGAACTGCTTTAATCCTTCATGGCAGAGAGTCAACAAGGTACTGGAAATATTCCTCAGAGATTTTGCTCCATATTGACATGATAGCATCACAGTTGCTGCAGATTTGTCGACTGCACATCCATGATGCCAATCTCTCGTTCCACCACATCCCAAAGGTGCTCTATTGGATTGAGCTCTGGTGACTGTGGAGGCCATTTGAGTACAGTGAACTCATCGTCATGTTCAAGAAACCAGTCTGAGATGATTCTGTATGACATGGTGTGTAATCCTGCTGGAAGTAGCCATCAGAAGATGGAGACACTGTGCTCATAAAGGAATGGACATGGTCAGCAACAATACTCAGGTAGGCTGTGGCGTTGACATGATGCTCAATTGGTACTAATGAGCCCAAAGTGTGCCAAGAAAATCTCCCCCACACCATTACACCACCAGCACCAGCCTGAACCGCTGATACAAGGCAGGATGGATCCATGCTTTCATGCTGTTGATGCCTATTTCTGACCCGACCATCTGAATGTGTCAGCATCAAAATAATTATTCTCTAAAGTCTGCATTAAAATTAAAGTTTATTTTGCTAGCACATTCTTAGTCTTAATTAGAAGAATTAATCTGTTAAATGAAATCACTTTGTTTTGCTAAACTTTATTAGCTTTAATATCTGACCATGTGCTTCTGCTCTTGAACAGCAGTCATTCTCTGATGATGTCAGTTTGACAGATTGGCCAAAATATGCTAAGCCACTCCCCCTCTTACTTGGAGCACAAAGATGAAGCCCCGCCCCTACTGAATATTCAGTTACAATTAGAAATAGGTCATTCGTTCATTTTCGGCTTAGTCCCTTATTTATCAGGGGTCGCTACAGTGGAATGAACCGCCAACTTATCCAGCATTTGTTTTGTACTAGTAATGGGAAACAAACCATACACTCGTTCACACACACACACACACACACACACACACACACACATACACACATACACTACCGCCAATTTAGTTAATCAGTTTCCCTTTAGCGGATGTGTTTAGACTGTGGGGGAAATCGGAGGACCCGGAGGAAACCCACGCAAACACGAGGAGAACATGCCAACTCCACAGAAACGCCAACCGACCCAGCTGGGACTCAAATCAGCGACCTTTTTGCCACAGTGCCAATGTGTCTGCTGGAAATAAGTCATCATGCTGAAATAAAAGTCCTCAGACACTTCTGGCTCATGTCGACTTCAAATAGTATTAAAGTAACTAATATTTTATTAACTATTAGTCAAGACATAAAATAAACTGACCTATATATATTCAGACTTAAAGTTACTTTAATTCAACCATTAGTCAACATATTATTATTTTGACTGGAAATGACACCGGCTTCTCCAAAAAAGATAATAATACCAATAAAAAGAGAGATTATAGTGGAAAATTATATATTTCTCAGCTTTTATTTACATTTGAACAAAAATTTTAAGTCAGAATTTGGCAGGGCTATGAATAATATCAGGCTTGACTGTATGTATAAGATCCTGAGATGTACAATACAATAATCTTTCTCTATCTTATCTAAGCTGCTTTGTGTTTGGGTGCAGGGCTCGTTTCAATGTTTATTCCCTGATCCTGAAGCCAAATGAACCAAAGCACAAATATCGATCAGGCTGATGGATCTTGACCTCTCAGACCACCACAAAATCAATAACTGCATCTGAATAGTAAATGAGTGTTGATGTGCTGAATCAGGAGAGAGAGAGAGAGAGACCGCCACAATCTGAGCGAGACTGAAGGAAGTTTTAGGCGCCCCCTGCTGTTCAATACATGCAGGTCACTTTCATTCTCTAATCTATATGACTTAAACAAATTTCTAGATTTTTTTTTTTTTGGAGACATCTTTGTTTTAATTAGTACTTAAGTTCCACTGGTGCATGCTTATTAATTGATTTTAATATATGCAGATATGAAAAACAAGAAAAAATATATGATAATGCAGTTTATTTAATATTGGTCTTATGATAAAGGTTTAATTAAGATGTTCATATTTATTTAGCTCTATAAACATATGGAAACTGTCTATTTACAATTTCAGATCAAAATATTGCAAATAATAAGCATTTTTCCTATTTTAAATGGCATGCATATGAAAAAACTATATATATATATATATTTATTATTATTATTATTATAATTAAAGAAAGCTGTTTTAAATGAAGTTCAGTAATTTGAGTTTATTAAAATGCTGTTAAAGTGCACTATTGCATCGTTTCTAAAGCTTCTTTCTCTTCATTTTAATCCAAAAATGAATCAGAAAGCCCTCAAATCATGATTGCTTAGCTCTGCGATCAGGGAGCACTCTCATTGAAATTACTCGGAGGCACAGATTTCACTTTACACTCACTGATTACTGCAGCCTGTCAGGCTCAGATCTCAGATCAGTTCGGAACCTTAAGTTCAGATTGTTTATTTTGTTAAACACAAAAGAAGATATTTTGAAGAATGTTGGAAAAATGTAACCACTGACTTCCTTTACAAAGCAATTATTATGGAAGTAAATGGTTACAGGTTTCCAACATTCTTCAAAATATCTTCTTTTGTGTTAAACAGAAGTAAGTAAATAGTAATAAACAAGTAAAGTGTGAGTAAACAATGACAGAATTATAATTTTTGGGTGAACTATTCCTTAAATTTCCTTTAAAAAGCCCAAAACATCTTAACAACAGTTTAGATTACATGACAATGTGTCCTATCCAAGTCACATCAACAAAACTCAGTAAAATAATAGCCAATCAGAAAACAATGCATTTAATATGCATTGCGTTTGGACCAATGAGGTACGTCTAACTTGGTAAGAACACCTCATATAAAAAAATAAGAGCAACAAAAAAAGCTGGATATATATTTAAAATTGCTTTGTGATGACCTAAATAAAGTTACTTTAAATCCTCGTAAAATGTCATAAAAAAAAAAGTTTGGTTAAAACCAAATAGCCCCGCCCCAAAATAAACTCCATTGGCTGAGCCAGTGTTTAAATCTCGGACACATTTGTAGCTCAAACAAATGCAGAATTGACTGCACGTCAAAACACTCCTGTGACATCTGTCATTGCTAGTTAACCATTCTCTCAGAGGATGACAATATGACAAATCCTTGCTGCAGCTCTGATACGAGCTTGAGGTAATTAGTGTACTGTTATTACTGAAAAGTGTATAATCCATACAAAGTTTGAAGCTGATTGGTTAGTGCTAGTCACATGATACAAATGCTTTGATAATCAGTATAATTTCGACCATTTTTTTCAGAGGAAGACAAGCTGACAAATCCTTGCTGCAGCTCTGATACAAGCTTTATTTATGGAGAAAAGTAAAAAGCGCAGCAGTGTTTGTGTGCTCTGTGTTTGTCTGAGGTAATTAGTCTACTGTTATTACTGAAATGTGTATTATTCATACAAAGTTTGAAGCTGATTGGTTAGTTTGAGGCACATGATGCAAACAATATGTGAATATCGCCTAAATTGGTTAAAAAAAAGGGATTTTCCCCATGAACGTCAACACAGACACGTTGTAAAGTTGTTCCAGCTTTTGGGAAACACATTTATTGCTGAGAAAAGGAAAATCTTGCAGTGCTGGTTCTGATCGTCAGCAAATGTTGTGTGCCGTGTCCTTCGCTTTCAACATACTGTACAACTCAAATAAAAAGTGCAAATACACCTGAAACCACACCTGATTCCAGTGATTCATGCCAAGATGGAGCCAAAACCAAACTTTAGTCCTCATCAGCGCATTAAACATTTCATAATACAAAACACTCAGTAAGTGGACGTCACGCTCAGCCGCTGACGCCTTGATAATCAATAAAAGTATTGCACAATCCTTATCATCCGACACATTCAGCATCTCTGCTGCATCGCCATGAAAAACTCAAACATTCCCTCCACACTGAACAAAAAGCATCTCATATTGGATATGGATTCGCCAAACAGCACAAGAAAACACTTTGTTTTGGAAGACTGGCTCACTGAAGAGTGCTGTTGTTTTGGGTATCAAGCGACAAGCCGATGAACGCAAATAAAAAAGTCTCGCAGGTTCATGATGACGAATGAATGGGCGTTAGGCTTCAGCATTAAACCCTTATGAACTGTATAGAAAACAACTAAAGCCGTCGGATGGTATACGTTTGGCCTCTTGATAATCCCAAACCAATGCCGCACAAGAAACAGACATAAAAACTAGCATAATACCAACAAATAAAAGAAGATAAAACAGTCAATGAGTATAAATTAAAGTGTCGCGGTATGTGGTTGTCTGGCCGTCACATTGACTCTCTCTCTTCTGGAGGGTCGTAAATGTCTCCGTCCACTAAAAACAGGCAGCCGGACGTGATGTTGAGCTGAAACCCAAAGCTCTGGGTTTTCCATGACGCCCCGCGCTGCTGTGGAAAATATAAAAACAGAATTCCTGTTGACTGGGCCGCAGTCCTCTTTATGAATATATGGTGATGACCTCACGGCCACCGCCGCGCACCAACAGGACCCGGTTGAGACCCTCCATCATAACCTCCATAAACTCCATGTCTGAGATGCACGAGTTAAGAATCAATATCATCCTACATGTCCCAAATAATTTGCGCACAGAAAGACAGATGTTTAGTCTTAAAGGGACAGTACAGATGTTTAGTCTTAAAGGGACAGTACACTCCCCAAAACTGAATATCCGTAGTGTTTACCATCCCTCAAGTGGTCATAAAAGAGTGGTTTTCTCCTGTTGAACACAAAACAAAATATTCTGAAGAATCTGGGAAAATAAGCAGCCATGGACATCTTCAGTATATCATGCTTTGTGTTCAACTGAAGAAAAATACTCAAACAGGAGCACGTGGAAAGTGAGTAAATGATGACAGGATTTTTATTTTCGGGTGAACTTTCCCTTAATGATTTTAAATGGTTTTATTTTGTCCCTCAGAAAGTCAAAAATGCCTGAAAGATCATTTATTGTATTATATATCTCTTCCATAAATGCCTGTTTTTGTGTGGAAGTAAAACACATTGTGTTTGTGTGTGCCTTTAAATGCAAATGAGCTGCTTCTTTCCATGACCCTTTTCAATAAAGTGTGGAGGCTTTACAGCTTGTGCCTCGGATACTATAAAAACAATAAACAAAACATCTGCGTGTATTTTAAAAAACATGTCAGTTTAGCTCATTAATATTCATGACCGTTCCAAATATGGTCAAAAGCGAGCTATTCATTCTTGAGGTTATAAATGAGCACATAAAACCATTTCTGGTCATTATTTTACTTAAGCCACACATCAATAATGTTGAAATCAGAGAACAATTTAATTTATTGAATCAATTCACTCTGTGGCACCTTTAGGTTGAGTTCTCTTTTTGTCAGCTGTTAAAAACACACAAACAAGCTGACATTATTGTAAGGATACAGTTTTCAGGACTCTTTTTGTGTTGAAGTAAAACACATTGATTATGTGTGTGCAAATAAGCAACTGCTTTTCCCGCCCCCTTTTCAAAAGAGGGCAGAGCTTTTACAGCGTGTGCTTCAGATACTCTGAAATCAATAAACAACATCTGCATGGGTTTTAGAGGCATGTCAGTTTAGCTCATTAATATTCATGACCATACCAAATATGGTCAAAACCATGCTGTTTATTTATGGGGTAATTCCTGTGGCTATAAATGAGCATATAAAACCATTTCTGTTCATTTTTTTTTTTACATAAGCCACATATCAATAATGTTGATATCAGAGAACAATTTAATTTGAATCAATGCACTCTGTGGCACCTTTTCTTTTACATTAGCTGTCAGAAACACAAACATACAATCTGATAATAGTGTAAGGATACAGTTTTCAGGCCTTACACTTGTTTTTGTGTGTGCCTTTAAATGCAAATGACCTGCTGTTTTCCCCGCCCCTTTTCAAAAAAGGTCAGAGCTTTTACAGCTTGTACCTCAGATGCTCTGGAATCAATAAACAAAACATCTGCATGGGCTTTAAAAGCTTGTCAGTTTAGCTCATTAATATTCATGACCATTCCAAATATGGTCAAAACAGAGCTGTTCATTTTTGGGTTTATTCCTGTGGTTATAAACGAGCATATAAAACCATTTCTGGTCATTATTTTACTTAAGCCACATACCTATAATGTAGACATCAGAGAACAGTTTAACTTATTGAATCACTGCACTTTATGGCACTTTTAAATCAAGTTCTCTTTCTCATCAGCTGTCAGAAACACACAAACACATCTGATATTACTGTAAGGATACAGTTTTCAGGCCTCACACTTGTTTTTGTTTGCGCCTTTAAATGCAAATGAGCTGCTGTTTTCCCCGCCCCTTTTTAAAATGGGACAGAGCTTTTACAGCTTGTACCTCAGATACTCCAAAAACAATAAGCAAAACATCTGCATGGGTTTTAAAAGCTTGTAAGTGTAGCTCATTAATATTCATGACCATTCCAAATATGGTCAAAACAAAGCTATTCATGCATGGGGTAATTCATGTGGTTACTTAAATAAGCAAATAAAACCATATCTGGTGAATCAATGCATCCTATCGCACCTTTAAATTAAGATCCCATTCTCATGACCCAATCAGAAGCACACAAACACAAGCTTCCATTAGCGTAAGGATACAGTTTTCATCGCCGCCCCTGTTTTTCGGTGGTCCAGGCATGTTGAGAAGGACCAGATGAGCTCCCTGTGATTTATTGACTATCACTTCGTTGAGCTTGACGGCCGTGTGCATGCAGCGCACATTAGACTGGTTCCTGATTCACATGTGATGAAGGACAGAGAAATAAACAGAAATCACATTAACACAGATGCTAATTGTTTCACTGTGCATTTTCAACTAACTTAGCAGTGTTTCCAAAGCACAGCTAAATGTTCAATGCTTAGTTATACTGTTTGAATCCAAATGTCTCTATTACTGAAACAACATCCGTTTTCAATGGTAATTGTTGTCATTCTGTGGTCAAATATCTGTATACACTGATGTTCAACTATATAATATATAACTGTATAGCTGTGCTTTATTATATAATACACAATGCATTTAAAATGGCAGCATAAATACATTTGCACTGTAATAAAAAAGCATAATTTACATGATATGTAGCTTATAAAATGAAGCCCCGTTGAGGTTAGTGTGCGCAGCATCAGGATTTGACATGCACAGCGTATGCACATGCCTTTAATAAAGCATATATTAAGACGTCTACACAAAAATAAAACCTGTGCTCCACCTGGTGCCATGCGATTTGAAAAAATGCAGCAAATTTACCACAAACAAGTAAAATGACAAATAAATATTAATAAGCATCTAAATAAAAATAAGGATGACAATCATTAATCATTATTTTCCTAATTACTAATTTATTATCATTTCAATATACATCATTAAAAGAGTACAAAAATATTCCAATAAAATAAATAATCATAAAAATAAATCACAGTGATTTTTATTACTAATATTGCAAAATTATTTTGTCCTGGTGTTGGAAATGAATAATAAATAAATATACCTAAAATGTATTATTATTATTAATAATAAAAATAATAAATATTAATATTAATATTATTTTATTTCTAATTACTGTTTAAATATAACAATACAAATACGACTAACAAATGATAAATAAATGTAATGAATTAATTAATTATTAATACATTAATTAGTATAATTTGTTAATTATATTGCATAATCATCTATTATATCATTATACTTATTTATTATGTTTTATATTTTTATTTATGTTTTAATAGTGTGATAATAGTACATAATAATAATAATAATAATAAAAATAATAATAACAACACCAGCATCAATAACAATAAAAGTAATAATAATAATAATAATAATAACAATAACAACAATACCAATCACAATAATAGAAATAATAATAATATTAATAATAACAATACTAGTAATAATAATAGGTATAACAATAATAGTAATAATAACAACAACAATAATATTAATAAAAATAATAACAACAATAATAATATCAATAATAACAACAATAAAAACAACAATAATAATAATAACAGAAACAGTAATAATAATAACAATAATAATAATAATAATAATAATAATAATAATAATAATAATAATAATAACAACACTAAATGTTCCTGGGCACAACAGGTGAAGGTGAAGCACAAGTTTAAGCTGCACATCAGGTGAAGCGGTGATGGGTGCGAGGGAATGCTGGGATGTAAACACACATGCATGTTTACACACTTCTATGTCTGAGTAATAAACACAGACAGACAGACAGACAGACAGACAGACAGACAGACAGACAGACAGACAGACAGAAATGGTGAACAGAGAATTGTGACTTACAGACTCTCCCATTCACTAGAAAGAGGAAAAGAGGACAGAACAACAGAGACAGGCTTAAACACTTACTTAAAGAGGAAAACCATCAATGCCGTCACAGAAATCTCTCAGAGCACTTCTGCTGAAACTACTGACAACAAGCCAGCAGACTAGACTTACAAAAACTTCTAGGTCATATTTACAATATATATATATATATATATATATATATATATATATATATATATATATATATATATATATATATAAAATTTATATTTTATTATATTATATATATATGTAATAAATTATTAAGTAAATTGTGATATTCATAAAAAATAAACTTAAATAAATAAAATAAAATATTAAATTTGTGTAATTGGAAAGTGGACATTAGGAATATTTTTTTCTAATATTACCAAATATTATACAATTACATAAAGACATAATTACATATAAACACATGATGAACACATGATGAACACACTGAGCTCATGCTCATGTCAAACACTCTTACGCTCGCGCGCGCACACACACACACACACACACACACACACACACACACACACACACACACACACACACACACACACACACACACACACACACACACACACACACACACACACACACACACACACACACACACACACACACACACACACACACACACACACACACACACACACACACACACACACACACACACGCATGCATGCATGCATGCAGATGCAATCCACTCAAAGCAGACTGAGAGAGACACTCACGGCTTCATGTTGAACAGATCTCGTACAGCCATGCTAGCATTAGCCTCTGTTCTGCGGCTACGTTCGCTAAAGAGCTTTTCTTTAGTCCAGGTCATGTGGACTCGCTCTGGCGTGGCGTCTGCTTTATCATTCATAGCTGTATGAGACGCTGTGTTTCTGTCGTGAATCAGCTGAGCCTGTGGTCAAACACACAATCACACATATTACAATGTAATCTCACGCCAATTTATAACTTTTTAATTTCGTGACTAATTCATATTAACTTATATGATCTCATTCGTATGATCTAATACGATTTCATACAAGTGACATCATATGAATCTGTATGAATTAGCCAGTTTTCGGAAAATACCTAAAATGGGTATGCTATGAATATACGTGAAAGAGCTACGTTTAAAAATTTGTAAAATAGTTACATTAAAAAATGTAGTTACACTACGAAAATATGTAAAATAGTTACACTATGAAAATAAATAAAAGTTACATATGAAAATATTTAAAATAGTTACACTACGAAAATATGTAAAATAGGTACGTTACGAAAATATGTAAAATAGTTACACTACGAAAATAAATAAAACAGTTACATATGAAAATATCTAAAATAGTTACTATACGAAAATAAGTAAAGTAGTTCCGTTATAAAAATATGTAAAATAGTTACACTACAAAAATATGTAAAAAAAAAAAAAGTTATGTTATAAAAACATGTAACATAGTTATGTTACAAAAATACATAAGAGTTACACTACAAAAATAAAAAAGTTACATTAGTAAAATACGGAAAATAGTTACACTACAAAAATACATAAAATAGTTATGCTTCACAAATATGCAAAATAGTTACATAACGAAAATATGTAAAATAGGTATGTTATGAAAATACATAAAACAGTTACGTTACGAAAATACGTAAAATAATTACATTACAAAAATACGTAAAATAGTAACGTTACAAAACGTTAAAACATTAAAATAATTACGCTATAAAAATATGTAAAATAGTTATGCTATTTTCACAGCATAACTTCATTATGAAAATACGTAAAAAAGTTACACAACGAAATTAAGTAATATGGTTACATTATGAAAATACGTAAAATAGTAACGCTACAAAACGTTAAAACATTAAAATGATTACGCTATAAAAATATGTAAAATATTTATGCTATTTTCATAGCATAACTTCATTATGAAAATACGTAATAAAGTCACACAACGAAAATAAGTAAAATAGTTACGTTATGAAAATAAGTAATATAGTTACATTACAAAAATATGAAAAATAGTTACATTGCGAAAATGAGTAAAATAGTTACGTTATACAAGAAATAGTTATCTGGCACTCACAAATACATCTCAGATACTCACATTATTTGCGTGCTGAACTGCAAGTTTAGAGACTTGAAACAGTATCAATATAATATAATATAATATAATATAATATAATATAATATAATATAATATAATATAATATAATATAATAACAACTAACTTAGACTTAATCTTGACATCTATATATTGCTTTTCTGAAGATCTGAAGAGCTTCTTTTATCTTTATATGTAAGCCTCTTCGGATAAAAGCATCTGCTAAATAACAGCATTTACAATAAATGAACAATATTTCTACAGATTATATTTGCAGCACGTCACAGCTCAGATCACAATCCCAACAAGAGCATGTCAGATTAATGTTTTAGTTTGTCTAATGTGCAAACTACAAACATGCAGCTACATTAGTCTGTAATATGCAGACTTCGACATGCAAAAATGTGAACCATTCAGCAAACAAACACAAACACAGTTGAAGACAAACTCATCAGGCCTCCTGTGAACTTTTAATTTCACTTGTTCATTTATTTCCCAAGTGCTGTTTAACAGAGGGAAATTTTTAATCATAATAGATTTATTAAGTAATTTATAATAACTGATTTATTTTATCTTTGCCATGATGACAGCACATAATATTTGACTAGATATTTTTCAAGATACTAGAATTCAGCTTAAAGTGACATGTAAAGTCTTAACTACAGTAGGTTAATTTAGGGAAGTCATTGGTCAACAGTGGTTTGTTCTGTAGCCAATCGAAACAAAACATTTGTTAACCTTACAAATAGTTGAATAAAAATATAAAAACTGTATTTATTCCAGTCAAAATAACTTTCAAAATATTTCTCCAGAAGACAAATATAATAGGAAATAATGCAAAAAATGCAACCAAGGCTCATTGAAGATACATTCCCAGGGTTGTATATTTGAGAACTACAAAATATGTACCCTGTACTATGACGTCTTGCAGTTTTTGTTTTCACGGTGTATATTTATGACAATCTCAACTATGTTACTTGAGGATTGTTTTCTCATATGTGCCATTTCCACGTATGAGAACCGTCCTTTGTCAGACTCGAATCATACCTGCCAAAACTCCCATATTTCACACTCATTTCCCCCCCCCGCCACCCTCCCGTTTTGTTACTCCTGTAATTTGAATGACCCGATCTGGTTATGAAAAATCCCTTTATGTCCATGTTTGTCAAGTTGCCAAATCTTGTATGACGCTCATTACTTCACACAATTGACAAAATATTCAAATCTCAAAGCATTTTTTACCTCAATCTGGCAACATACGTTATAACCCAGTTGCGCTGTTGATTTCTGCAGAGGTGGAAGATGCAGGATTTGAACAGCGGTGGTAGCAACATCAGTAGCAGATCATCAGTTATAATATTTAATAACCTCCCTGCTCTCAAATTTGGAAGACAAATGTTTGGAAGACACTGGTCTGACACCGTACAAGGTGAGCTCCCGAGCAAACTGACCACACCAGAAAAGCTGTGCATACTGAGGTATTCAGCCAACAGTAGTGCAAAAAGGAAGTTGCCAGTGGGTTCATAAAGCCCCATAGCAATTGTTTTACACACAAAATCCAGCCATATGTAGCCTAGTGCACATATTTCTGAACTTAAAACTCTGAAAACTGAACACAGTTTCAAATAACTTTAATCTTCTATGTGAAGCTGCTTTGACAAAATCTACATTGTAATAGCGATATACAAGTAAAGGTGAATTGAACTGAATTGAATTTCACAGTTCTCAAATATGTAGCCCTGGGCACATCTTCCCAATGAGACTGTGTTATGAAATATCCTTGCTCTGTTATACATCATTTATAATATTAGAATATAAAAACAAAACACATTTCTCAGGAGGGCTAATAATGCTGTCTTCAACTGTACACATTTATTATGTTTTCTATTTCTAACACGGAAGGATCGTCAGGAGGGCAGTGCTGATTGGCGCAGGGGTGACGGAGCACAGATGCATGCTGGGAAGTGTGGTTTTCTGCAGAACTCTACTGTTCTACCTCGTCCTGCTGCTCGTGTGCTGTGTTCTGGTTCTGCAGACTGGAGCTGTGTGCTTCGCTCTGGTTCTTCCTCCTGATGGAGCTACGAGACTCATCGGTGATGCTCTGAATCTGAGCAGTGTTTCCCCCCCGAGAGCAGCACAAATTAAAGAGGAGCACAGATCAACAAAACACCAGCCGCCAGCCAATCCTTCCAGATTGACAGCCAACACACGTCTAGACCAGTTACACTCACAAACTAGACGCAAGATACCAATGTTTTTTTTTAATACTTCAGTTATTTTGCATGCTTAACTTTTTTGATATCATCATAACACAATAATTGTCATTGCTGAAATGCAAATATGACATGAACCATATGTATTTTTAGCCTGAAATTAGCATAAAGTTTATTAATAAATTAATTTGACAATAATAATGTTACTATTGCTACTATTAATACAGGGGCGGGCTTAGTGATTTGGGGGCCCTAAGCAATTCCAGGTATGAGGCCCTATCATCACAACTCAAAACACTCTATTTTTTTATAGATATTATTTTCTTCTGTATATTCATTTTTATTTTTTGTAAATAAACTGCATGTTAAAAATATATTTCAAGTGGAATCTTTATTTTCTTAATGTAAAATTAAATACAACAGATTCACAAATATAAAAAAATAATAATTCACAAATTAACGGTGCCCAGTTAATTTTTCTGGTTAGATTGTAATATTAAAATCTAACCAGAAGGGTTTGAAAATAAGTAATAACATTAAAATCGTAATGGTTATAGACAGATTTTATAAAAGAGTTCTATGATTAATATATTGGTTAGAGCCCCCTAATTGCCCGGGGCCCTAAGTGGCTGCTTGCTTCTCTTATTGGTTAAGTCCACCCCTATACTTACAATTAAATAATAATGATAATAATAATGCATTATTTTATTTACTTGACATTAAATAATAATAATAATAATAATAATAATAATAATACATTATTTTATTTATTTGACATTAAATAACATTAAATAATAATAATAATAATAATAATAGTAATACATTATTTTATTTATTTGACATTAAATAACATTAAATAATACATTATTTAGTTTTTTGACATTAAATAACATTAAATAATAATAATAATAATACATTGTTTTATTTATTTGACATTAAATAACATAAATAATAATAATACATTATTTTATTTATTTGACATAAAATAATAATAATAATAAAATAATAATACATTGTTTTATTTATTTGACATTAAATAACATTAAATAATAATAATAATAATAATACATTATTTCATTTATTTGACATTGAATAACATTAAATAATAATAATAATAAAACATTATTTTATTTATTTGACATTAAATATTAATAATAATAATAACAACAACAATAATAATAATAACACATTGTTTTATTTATTTGACATTAAATAACATTAAATAATAATAATAATAATAATAATAATAATAATACATTATTTTATTTATTTGACATTAAATAATAATAATATTAATAATAATAATACTAATAATAATAATAATAGCAATAATAATACATTATTTTCTTCATTTGACATTAAATAATTGTAATAAATAAAAAAATAAACAATTCAATTTATGTAGCATTAATAAAAAATATATACAGTAACACTAAGTAACATTAATAATATTAATTATCATCATAATAATGCATGAACGTTACTTTTCTTTTAGATTTTTTATCTTTAGTTTTGACATTAGAGTGAAATACAGACTCATGTCCTGCTAGTTTTTTTGTGTTTGAGGTGTGTGTGGTATTAATAGTGTGACTGAGTGTATCAGCATCACCTCTCTCTCTCTTTCTGTCCTGGAGAGCTGCATCTGCTTGAGCATCTGTGACCTCTGCTCCATCACCAGTGTTTTCTCATAGGTGAAGGCCGAGATGTCACTGTCATGCTGAAACACAAAAAAAACAACAACAAAAAAAACAGTCCTATTATTTTACTGCACAGCAAAAGCCATGTCGAAATCACTATAAGCGTGTGCTCACCATCTCCACCACCTCCACCTCAGCGTTGAGCCGCAGGTGATAGAGGAACATCTGCAGGTCTTTCTTCATCTGAATACTGTTGTCATCCATCTGAGCCACAGTGAAGATGCGCATCTTACACTTCTTCCACACCTGAAACACATACAGACAGCAGACAGACACACAGACAGAGGAGCGATTGATCAGCAGTTGTTTCTCTGACAGGGTTTCTCTACATTTAACATTAAGCAGATACTTTTATCTAAAGGGACTTAAAGGTGAAGATAAAAAAAACATGTGTATTTGTAAATGCCAGTTAAATTTATTTATGGCAAGATATTTTTTATTAATAAATAAATCAATTAAATTAATTAATTAATAAATATAAATTTTTATTAGTAAGCTTTTGTTTACTTTTTAGACATTTATTTATTATTTTTATTAATAATTAATTGTCAATTATTATAATAGTTATTGTTATTAATTTATTAATTTAATTTAAATGTAATTAAAATGGTAATTAATATTCATTAATACAAAATATTTATATTAACAATTAATTCATATTATTATTTATTAATAAGTTATTGTTTACTTCTTAAAGTTCCTAAAGTTTCTTAAATTTATTTAAACTAAATAAAATAAAATAAAATAAAATAAAATAAAATAAAATAAAATTAAATTAAATTAAATTGCTGTGTTGTTTTCTGACCTTGTGCTGGCGCAGCAGGAAGGGCAGCAGCATCAGCATTCCTCCATCATGGACGATCCACCACACGTCGATAGTTCCTTCAGTCAGACGCTCCTGATGAGGGAAACTGTCCACGTTCTTGGCCACCAGCAGAGCCAGATGAGCCGCTGTCGTCTCTCTGACCGTCTCTGAGGAAAGGAAAACACACAAAACAACATTCAACAACATACCTGATGCCTTCAGAGCAGACAAATCAGCTGTAAACACCATACATGCATGTGATCAGGAAAAAATCCTAGAAATAGGTTTGTTTCTTGAAAATATCTAAATATCTAAGATTTTTTGAATGCATTAATAATATAATAAAATAGTTTTTCAGATGCATTAAAGAGCACAAAAAACTCATTTTATCGACTGCAATAAAGTTTATGAATATATATTCATAATTATATCTTATCATTATTTAATAACAGTAATAAAAACAAAAAATAAGGGTATAAAACATAAATATTTATATAATATATGATATTATTATATATTATAGTACATTTGAATACAGATGACTAAAATAAAAAATAAAATGACAAATAAAAATATTTCATTAATATTTAATAACCATTTTAAATTAATAAAATACTTTTTATAGCATATTTATCAAATAATTAAATAATAATAATTAGTTTTTCTCTGAAGAAAATATTATACATCAATCATTATTAAATATTACCAGGTCAATTAATCTATATTAAATTAAAGATTACTGTTTTAGTTTATTTACAGTAATAATAATAATATATATGTATATATTATGCATGTATAGTTTATAAATATGTATTTGTATCTGTATCTTTATGTGCATATGCAGTGATGGTCAGACCGATGAAGCTCCTCCAGGTATGCGGGTCGCTGGATTGTCTCCAGTTGCTCGGCCAGGCCATCAGGACCGAGTTGTGCTTCATTCCTCCGAGTCCTGCAGACTGGACAAGATGAGAGATGCCATCCCGCAGGTTTGAGGACACCACCACATGACAGAAACCCTTGGTCTTCTCCGCCGCCATCGCTGACTTTATATTCTACAGCACAGTAGAAAACACAAATACAAAAGACGGGTGGTTAGAGATGTGTTTATTTCAGGCGGTGTCCACTAGAGGTCAGTGTCAGTTTAGGCTGGAAACTCGGTGGATTTGAAGAAATCAACTGCCTTGACTATTTGTTTGCATAGAGCACTTCACACATCAAGTGCTAATCACTTTACATAAGGAGAACTTTTTCTTCACTAGAATGTTTTTAAGAGCAAAGAGTTTCAACAATGCAAATACAATACAAATACAAAAAACTAAACATTTAAATGAGATATATATATATATATATATATATATATATATATATATATATATATATATATATATATATAAAATCATGTTAAACTAGTATTGATGTATTTTTAACAAAAAAAATGCAAGAAATAAAAAAAATAATTTTAAGGTGTAGATTGTAATTATTTTAAATTCATAATAGTGTATCTTTTTAATGAGTTATACATTACATAATTATACTAAATTACATAATATTTTAAATATTTTATTGTCTTTTTTGCACAAAATAAAATGTCTCATTCCCAAAACAAATATTTTAAACTAATACTTAATACTTTCATGTGTTTTTACAGATTGTGTCTTTATTTATTAATTATTCTGCAGTTTTTAATAGATGTGGAAATTTACGGTATCAACAAATAAACATATAAAGGATAGATTTATAGAATAAATGTTTAGAATCATAATGTTTTATTAACATATTTCTACTTGGATTCTTTTATTTAATGGAATTTCTTTCTTAAGAAATCATTTTAGTCAAAATATATATCTCCTAAAAAATAAACACAAATGCATTAGTTTTAGGTGTAGAATATAATAATAAAAATTCCTAATATTGTCTTTTCAAATTAATAATTTCTTAATAATGAAAACATTGATATTAATAATAAAAATACATTATTAATTAACAATCAATTAATAGTTTTTTTTATGTTGTAATCTAATCTAAATTACATCCCAAAAACTCCCTTCAGCTTCAAAATTAATCTAACCCTTTCTTTCATAAACTAGAGACTTCATAAATTAAAAATTCTCCCATTCTCAGCCAAAATGTTTTTATTTATTACTCTTAAATGAATTAATCCTCCATCACAGAACTGCTGCCCCCAGTACTGTTTGAGTTTTTCTAATGATCTCCTTAAAATGGCTTAATTTTCCCGCACAGGCTGCACGGTGGCGCAGTGGGTAGCATGTTCACCTCACAGCAAGAAGATTGCTGGTTCGAGCCTCGGCTGGGTCAGTTGGTGTTTCCGTATGGAGTTTGCATGTTCTAACCGTGTTGGCGTGGGTTTCCTCCGGGTGCTCCGGTTTCCCCCACAAGTATAAAAACATGCGGTACAGGTGAATTGGGTAAGCTGAATTGTCCATAGTGTATGTGTGTGATTGAGTGTGTATGGATGTTACCCAGTGATGGGTTGCAACTGGAAGGGCATCAACTGCGTAAAACATATGCTGGATAAGTTGGCGGTTCATTCCGCTGTGGTGATCTCTTATTAATAAAGGGACTAAGCAGAAAATAAAACGAATGAATGAATTCCCACACAGTGTTTCCAAAAGAGTGTTTTTGAGATGTGTGTGTGTGTGTGTGTGTGTGTGTGTACCTGCTCTGCGCGTTTGGCCTGGTTCTCTCTGCTCAGGTATGTTCCTTCCAGCACGGAGCCCACGATGGTCAGTCCTTTACCAGCCTTCAGCTGTGTGGTGAAGGACAGGAGACGCGGATGCTTCACACACAGCTCTGAGTCCAGATTGAGTAGAACCAGCATCTGAGGTCTGTGCGCGCACACACACAGACACAGAGACACACACACACACACACACACACACACACACACACACACACACACACACACACACACACACACACACACACACACACACACACACACGCACACGCACGCGCACACAGTTTTAGTGCATTTACTTTTTCACATTCAAAGTGACTCATGTCTGATGTCTGCATTTACACTGTAGATAGAGCCGGAAAACCAGAGCGGGCGCTGACTGACAGCCGATAACAGAAGAGCTCTCTTTTCTCCATTCCTGTTTTTATTTTGTTTGCAGGGTTTCATTTGTGCTCATCTTTATGACAAGTTGTTTAACTATAGTTGACAGAAAAGTTCTCATTTGGCCATCTTCTTTTAATCTAGGCTTATTTTTTAACCGACAGGCATTTCTATTAGATTATTTATTTTTTATATTGTACTATATAAGTGAAGTCACTTGAACACTCCCCAGGATAACCAGCACGCACAAACACGCACACACACGCACACACAAACACACGCAACGCACGCACACGCACGCACACACACACACATTGACCAGAGATGTCTATATATAATTCATAACTGACTGATGTGGGCTTTACTGTAGTTAATTCCTGTGCCACAGGTGGCAGATGGGTAATAGGATGAAGGAAAATATATATATATATAACATCAATTCAGTGTTGTTTAGCTTTATTGTAATCCTCTTATTAATCTTTAAGTTATCAGGTTTTATTTTTACATGTTCTGTTTTTTATCTTCATTTTAGTTCACATTTTGCTCATTTATGTTTGTGCTATCTTATGGCATTTATGAAGTTTATTTAATGTCTATATAATGTTTATTTTTTGCAGCATTGCAGTTTTTTCATTGAGTTTTTGTCATAAATATAAAACGTTAACAAATGCCTTAATAATGTAAAACAATTTTATTGTGATATTGTATTGTATTTCAACTCAATTATTACTTTATTTAAAATAAAATAATTTTCTAAGAATTTAGTTTATCTGTTGACAACTGTAATAACCCTGACTAAACTATTATATAATACAATTTAATGTGAGCAAATGATCTCAAATAAAAACTGCACATGACTTATGCAATAGCTGATACCAATGTCAATGATGGCAGATGTATAAATAATAAATAAATAAATAATATTATATATACAGTATTCAGCATACCGTATAAGTACACCCCACACAAATCTCTCTTTTAAATGTATATATATTTTTATAGGAGGCTATACAATATTATATTTGTGCATATATACATGAGATTACTCAGTACTGAAGCCAATTTTTATTTTGTAGGTTGTAAATTATTTTTGCAATATTTCGCTTGAATTTAATTGTATTATCTTTCAATTTCTAAATATGTCTGATGACTGACATATTATTTTAATAAATATATCTGTTTATTATTTATTATTATTTATTATTGTCTATTAAATGGATATTGTAATATATTGAACAATTTTACAAAATAAACTAAAACATTTATTGTCCTTAAAACTGCACATAAAGCATGTAAAGTTCTTCTTAATGTTTTTAATACACACTGTTATGCATAATTCATTACAGTACTTGTCTACTTATTGATATATATATAGGTGACGCAGTGGCGCAGTAGGTAGTGCTGCCACCTCACAGCAAGAAGGTTACTGGTTTGAGCCTGGGAGTACAGGTGAATTGGGTAAGCTCAATTGTCCGTAGTGTGTGTGAGTGAATGTGAATGGATGTTTTCCAGAGATGGGTTGCGGCTGAAAGGGCGTCCGCTGCATAAAAACATGCTGGATAAGTTGGCGGTTCACTCCGCGGTGGCGACCCTAGATTAATAAAGGGACTAAGCCGAAAAGAAAGTGAATGAATATATATATATATATATATATATATATATATATATATATATATATATATATATATATATATATATATATATATATATATATACTTAATACTTGAAAGCATATGAGAAGAGTTTTAGTGCATTATATCTTCAGATGTTGAATCCTCAACGCTAAACAGCCCCAGTACATGTCTAATGTATTTGTTCTGAGTATTTACAGGCGCAGTGAAAGTGAAGGCTGTGGAGAACTGAAGTCTGAGGCTCCAGATTTAAAGCCCTGGAGGTTTTTCTGGCTCTGGATTAAAGGATTATTGCAGGACTGTCGCAGGTGTGATGCTTTCAGGTGAATGATGTCAATCTGAGGTTAGATGTGAAAGCTCACCACCACATTATCATTAATGATGATTTACTCTACACTCAATCCTGCAGCAGATGAGTCAGGGAAACTCGCTCAAATTAAACCTGATAGAGGTTACTGGAGTGCAGCTGGGAAATCAGTTCACAAACTCATTCTGAAGCGTGAAACATTTGTCTTTTTTTTTTATTTTACTTTATCACTGTTTTTTTTTTTTTTAACTATCAAGCTACTATTATTGATTTTATTAATGGTTTAAGTACTTGATTCTCATTGACATCTGTCAGTCTTAAAAACATTTTTACTACAATGTTAAATAGTTTGTAGTTTTCTGAATATTTTGAATAATGTTTTTTAAGTTTTACTTTTTATTTAACATTTTTTTATTTTACTTTATCTCATACTTTATTTTTGTCTACTGCTTTTATTAATCATTCAATTATTTAAAAACTTCCTGTAATTTGAGTTTGTCTTAATATATTTGTTTTATATAATTTAAAATAATGTATATTTATTGATATTTTAAATTCATTTATTGCAATATCTTATACAATAGCTTTATTTTTTTTTTAAATATTTTACTTCCTCTCAAGGATTTTGTTTAGCATCAAGATAATATTATTGCTAAAAAAACTATTCGATTCCCATTGTCATTTAAGTGTTAATATTTAAGTTTTTTAAAACTATTTTTTATTACTATAATTTAAAAATAGATGATAGTTTTTATTAACATTCTGAATTAATTTATTGCATTATCTATACATTTTTAACTAATTTTTTTAAAATTTAAAGTTTTTTTAATCTTCATCTCATGGATTGTTTTTGCATCAAGATAATATCATTGCTTTTATTAATTAATGATAAAAAAACTACTTGAATCTCATTGTAATTTGTGTTAGTCAAATGTTTTTTGATTTTTTTTACTATAATTTTAAATATTTTTTTATTTATTTTTTATTTTTTATTTATATTTTGTATACATTTTATTGCAATATCTTTTACATTTTTTAAGTTGCAATTATTTTGTTGAACTTAGATTTTTTCTTTTTTTTAAAGATTTTTTTCATTTTTATCTGAGAGATCAACCCTTTAATAAAAATATTTAAGTCATTCATTTGAGTTAATCAGTGTCATTTAAGCTGTATTCTTTTATTAAGATAATTTAAAACAATCTCTAGTTTTTCATTAATATTTTGTATTCAGTTATTTCAATATCTTGTAAAGTTTTAATGTTTTTAATGTTTTAATGTTTTTGATATTATTTACATTATTTTTTATATATAATGTTTTTCAGTGTTAAACAGTACAGTGATAATATAAATAAATAATAATAAAAATAAAATATATTTATAGAGTATATTTATAGAGTAATAAAAATAAAATGTATTTTTTTCATGATTAATGGATGAACAGAAAGTTTCATTTATTTAAAATAGATCAAATAAATGTAAACATTTAATCAACACAGGCTCATGGGAAATACACACTTACATTTTTGTGATTTATTTTTTTGTGATGTCTTTGACATTTTTAATATTGTTTATTTTTTTTTTAGATTTTTGAAAATGAGAAATGTTTCCTCAGTATCAAGTAAACTTTTCCAAACACCTGATTTTAGTAACATTTTTTGATGCTTTTATTTTATTAGAGTTGTGAATCAGTCAAAGAAGAGTCCACTAAAGAGGCTTAGACAGAAACACGATGTCCTTTGACGGAGACGTTCACAAATGTCAAAGAACAAATACAGCTCAGTTTCTCCTCTGTAGATTAGAGGAATGAACAGATTTGACCTGATTCCTGAAAGACGGCTGAACTTTCATTGTGTCTCGTTGTATACAGGTTATTTAATCTATCAAAGATTACTGAAAGCTCAGAGAAAAATCCAATACTGATTCTGCATGGATTATAACACTGAAGAGTTGACCAGTGTAGGAGAGCATTTGGTTTTTCATTGAACTTTAGAGTTTGTGATAAACATGATACATATTTGATTTAAAAGTCTGAGGTCAGTTTATGCTGTTTTTATGTTCACCAAGGCCACATTTATTTAGTTAGAAATAAAGTAAAACTCTGAAATATTATCACACTTTGAAAAATCTGTTTGGTAAGAGAATATATTTTAAAATGCAATTTACTTCTGTGAATTAATACTGAATTAACATCATCATTAGTCATTTAGTGTCACTGGATTCTTCAGAAATCAATTGTATCTGCTGATATTGAAACATTTCTGATTATTATCTTGTTTAAACATTTTTGAGCAGATCATGCTCTTTCTACTTTTATTTAGTTAGTTATTTAAAAAAGCAGCATCATATTTATGTGGCAATTCAATAAATCCAATTGTTTTAAGAAATCATGGATGAACAGAAATGTGAATTTGTTTGAAACAGATTAATTTGCTAACATTATAAACAGTGCTTGGCAAAATGATTCACATACAAAATAAAAAAGTTTATTTTTACATAATTCAAATGGTGTACTGTGTGTATTTATTATGTATGTACGTATGTATGTATGTATGTATGTGTGTGTGTGTGTGTGTGTGTGTGTATATATATATATATATATATATATATATATATATATATATATATATATATATATATATATATATAAATTATAAATATATATAAAATTATAAATACACACATGATGCATGCATATATTTTAGAAAAAGTTATTTTTTATATTTGGATATTAAATATATGTGTATATGATACAAATTATATATAAATTAAAATATCAGTTAAATATACAAAAAGTATCACATATGTAAAATACACATTCACATATATTATGTTAAAACAAACTTTTATTTTGCTTGTAATTAATCTTAGTTTTACTTTCACTTTTGATCCGTTTTAAAATGCCCTTTCTGTATGGGAAAAAAAAATGTAAAAATACTTTTTAAATTGATTTAATTTAATTTATTAATTTATTATTATATTTTTGTGCCAACTATGATACATGAAATTTCTTTAAAGTTCATAGATGAACGAAGTTAAATTTATTTGAACCAGATCTATTTGCCAACATTGTGATTATTTCTACTTTCACTTTTGATTAACTTATTAATATGCTCTTGCTGTATGGGGGAAAAAACAGTACTTATTATTAATTTAATTTAATTTAATTTAGTTTTTGTTGCAGCTATGATAAATAAAAACTTTAAGGATTTATGCATGACCAGAAAGATCACCTTATTTAAAAGAGATCTATTTGCAAACATTACAAATAGACAAACATTACATCATTACTTTCACTTTTGATCAATTTAACATACCTGTTTTATAAAAGTAACATGTAGTAACTTGTAACATGTAGTATAAAAGTAATAATTTTATTCAAAAAGATACTTTTGTACTATGTGGTTTACAAAAATATATATACAATTTGTACAATATTGCATAGAAATCTTCCTAAAATATACATCTAATATAATAATACAATAATACATTTAAATGTATTTATTATTGATTATGGCTCATATGATAATTTACAATAAACCTGTTATGCCCCTTTTTACAAAATTTAAAATAAATCTCTGATGTCTCTAGAGTGTGTGTGTGTGAAGTTTCAGCTCAAACTAGCACACTGAAAATGTTTTCTAACTCTCTGAATTTGACCCTTTTAGGCTTTGAAAATAATTGTGGAGATTTGGTGACTGTCGCTTTAAATTCAAATGAGATTTAAATCTAAAAGAGGGCGGAGCATACACTGTTCCCACACGATTTTTGCATAACAGGTGCCCTTTAAAGTGCTTAAATTAAGTGAATATTTAATATTATTGTTACAACGTTTATACCTAAAGTTTAATTACAGCTGTGCATATTCTCCTGTCAAGTTTGTGTTTTAATAGATCATTTCATAGGTGACCCCTGTTTTGTGCATTCACCTCCTTTGTAAATGACATTCTGATTATAATTGCACTTAGTATTTGTGAGTTTTCGATCGTCCTCACCTCCAGTTTTTGGTGTGTGGCGGTGCTTCCTCCAGCCGAATGAGAGCATATCGTGCAGCATTAAGGGACAGACCGCGGATCCCGTCGCCCCATTCCTTCTCCGCCCTGAACACACACATATAGAAAAGAGTGGGTGTGAACACACAGTGAGCTTCAGCAGTCAATCACTCAGTCAGATAAAGGCCGCCGGATCAGTAATCAGCTTACGGTCTGCACGGTGTAATGCGCTTCAGCTCTTACCCGCGGTACTCGATGTACTTGTAGATGCATCCAGCGATGAGCATGGCCACCAGAGCGTAGTACCAGGAGGATATGAACATCAGAGCCAGACACAAACTCATGCCCAGGAACGACAGAGCCCTGGAAGATGACAGAAAATATGCTTTAAATGAGACCAAGAATACATGTCTAAATAGTTTTAAATATTTGGTAACTTAAGTAAAGGTGTTCATAAGACTGTCATGAAACCTTTATAATGTCATGAATGTGAATGAGATTTTATGCATGCTTATGACCACTGTTATTAAGTGTCATTTGCTCAGTTATGACATTTTAAATGTAAAGATGACATTGTTTCTTATGAAAACTTGGCAAAAACAAATACATCACAACCATTACATGTCTTGACCTTACCAAGACAACAAATCTCATCCTAAATCTGCCATGACGATAATGGTCATAAGGCCATTATAAATATGTATTGAATCATATAACACGGTCATTAATATTTTTTATACCTCAACTACAGTGGTATAAGCTGAATTTACCAATAAAATTTCATTAAATATTAATGAAGCTCTCAAAAATGTTTTAATTTGAGCAATGACACCTTTATTCAAACATTTTAATGATAAATACAGGGTTTTTTTTAGCTGAAAATGGGATCATAAACATATATATTATTATTATTATTATCGAAATATAAAATATAATAATTCCTAAACATAAATAAATATAATAATAAAGTATAATAAAGTCATAAAAGTTTAAAAGTTGTGTAATAACAACTAACACTCCATACTTTTCCCAATAAATATTTCAGTAAGTGCCATTTACAGAGTTATATATGTTAGTACTATTAATACTCATTCATTGGACACTGATGATTTATTAAAAGACATTCTATATCAAGTAAATCATTCTGAGAGAGTCTGATGTGACACTGAAGAGTTATGAACAACAGATACAGTATACACTCACTGGCCACTTTATTAGGTACACTTGTCCAACTGATCATTAATGCAAATTTCTAATCAGTCAGTCACATGGCAGCAACTTATTGCATTTAGGCATGTAGACATGGTCAAGATGATCTGCTGCAGTTCAAACTGAGTATTGTTGCTGATTCCATTCCTTTATGGCCACGGTGTACCCATCAGAAGATGGCTACTTCCAGCAGGATAACACACCATGTCATAAAGCTCAATCATCTCAGACTGGTTTCTTGAACATGACAATGAGTTCACTATACTCAAATGGCCTCCACAGTCACCAGAGCTCAATGCAATAGAGCAGCTTTGGGACGTGTTGGAACAGGAGATTGGCATCATGGATGTGCAGCCGACAAATCTGCAGCAACTGTGTGATGCTATCATGTCAATATGGAGCAAAATCTCTGAGGAATATTTCCAGTACCTTGTTTAATCTCTGCCATGAAGGATTAAGGCAGTTCTGAAGAAAAAAATCAGTCCAACCCGTACTAATAAGGTGTACCTAATAAAGTGGCCAGTGAGTGTAGTTAGTATTACGATAGATACAGATAATAGTATTTAAGTAGTATTTTTTTTATTTTTCAAAATGTTATGACTGATTTTTTTATTTATTTCGGCTGATTGTGATTGGGCATTAGTAATAATGGGAGTAGGATCTGATGATCTCTTTTTGAATAGGTTGAGTTTGATATGAATTGAATATTAATGTTATTCATATGCATATTTTATTAGTATGCATGCATACATGTTTAACTAGTTTAAAATAAAGCCATTCAACACACAAAAATCAGAGCAATGATGCAGCATTGCAAAAAATGGTCCTACTTAATATTAAGTGGCCTTAACTACTGTGTACTTTCATCAAAATATAAATATAGTGTACTTAATGTGTTCATAATGTATTGCAGAACACTTGTGGTGCTCTTGAGGTGGCAATATGATTCAGGTTAGAGACAGGTTTGGATGTATGGGTAGTTTTATGAGTAGGGTTAAGGTGTATGGGATGGTCAACAGTGTAATTACAAATGTACTTACAGAATTTAATTACAGATGTAATTACATGCAGGTATTTAATCAAGTATAAGTACAATGTAAAAACAAGTATTTAAACATTAGTTATAGTGTAACCAATTATTTATTTTTGGTGTACATACAAATAAGTTCGAGCCACTTAAAATAAAGTGTAACCCAAAAATTATTATTAACATTTAAACATAAATTCAAATAGAATAGAGTTATTATGAGTTACAATAATGTTTTGCATGTTTATTGTATTTTGCACAGTAAACCCAGTGGTATTAGAGAGTTGTTTTTCTGACCAGTGGTAGTATTTGAAGCGTGGTCTCCAGTTGGGCGTCCTGAGCAGCGTCTGCAGAGCACAAGCCAGGTTCACGAACAGATAACACATGAGGAAAAACCTGAGGACAGAAACACGGTCAATCTCACAGTCTGTCATCATCACAGGTAAACGACTGCAGAAATCAGACTCACATTGAAAGGATTGGAGCCACAGCATCAAGAGAAGCGATGAGGATTCCACTTTCACAGATCAGAGCGGTCAGAAGAAGAGCCCACGTTGGCTCGCCGTTAGCTTTTCCATGACCAAACACCTGAGAGACAACGTATGTGAACAATAATACTAAGATCAATCATCAATCAAAAGAGCCAACTTATCTTATTTACTTTAAAGCAATGATTATCTTGCATTAACAAAGATCTAATTTGCTGGATGCTTCTGAAACCACTTGAAGGAAACTTGAGTTAACAAATAATTTTTACATTTTCTAAGTAACAATTGTAATCTAATTAAAATATAATATCTAATTAAGATGTAATTGTATTTTTAGTCAATGTAAAAAAAATCTGTTAGTGAGTTGACTAAAAATAAAGTGTAAAAATAAGGTTAAAGTATAAAAAAATGTTGCTATTGTTATATAAAGCTATTAAAATCACTGAAATAAAGCTGAAATAAAACATAAATATTAAATGAAAATTAAACAGTTTTTGGATATAGTACTAACATTACTAAAACTAATAATTTAATAAATGGATGCAATTATTAGAAAGCATTTATATAAAACATAATTATAGATATTATTTAGCATCGGTGCTCCCAACTTCAACAATTAAGAAACACCCACGAAAAATGAATGAGCACCATTGCAAATTGTATATTAATTGTTTTTACTGTATTTGAAAACAACAACAATCAGAACTAGCAAAAAACAGCATCAACCTAATGCTGCGTTCACTTGTTTGAGCAATAATTCCAAAATCATGTCCAATAATTATAAATTTTAATGATGACGATAATGATTGATAATAATAACAAAAATTAATTACATTTCTTATCATAGCTCTACACTTTTGCTCCTAAATATATAACACTGTAAAAAATGCAGGGTTCCACATAATTCATTCATGTTGTCTCAACACAAATCGACTAAGTTAACTTAACAAATTTATGTGGATTGAACATAAAAAATTAAGTTGTCCCAATGAAATCTCAAGAATTGTTTCTCATTTTGATTAAGTAGCTTGAGCAAGTAAAAATGTGTGTGAGACAACATAATTAAATTTCAGATGCATATGCGACCAAAATGGTTGCAATTTCGAGACCTTTCAAGATCTTTATTAATATTAGTATGATTTTTCTGCAGACTGTACCTCGAGGAAGGGCACGATGCCGTCCCGCGCAATGGCCTGCAGCAGTCGGGGGGCACCGGTGAGACTCTGAAGCCCCGCCCCACAGCAGGAGAAGAAAGAGCCAATCACAATCACCCAGGGGGAGGGCCAGGACAATGTACCAATCACCAGATTCCCTTTCACAGAGTCTCCAAACCTAAAGCAGACAATTAAACAAACAAACATATATTAATATTTCAAACCACCTCACATTGATGCCCTGTAATACTGCATAAAACATAAATATATTATTATTTATGGGGCAGCGTTAAAGGCGTATTTCACCTAAAAAATGACACATTCCATCATCATTCACAAACCTTTCAAAAAAATGTAACTATTTACTTCTATAGTATTTGTTTTCCTACCATGGAAGTCAATGGTTACAGGTTTTCAGCATTCTTCAAAATATCTTGTTTTATGTTCTACAGAACAAAGAAATTCATAAAAGTCTGTAAATAGTGAATCAGTTTTCCTTTTTTTGTGTGGGAACTATCCCTTTAATATGTCATTAGAGGAGTCGTTTTCTGAATTTGCCTAATGAAGCGTTTATGAGTGTGTGTGTGTGTGTGTGTATATATATATATATATATATATATATATATATATATATATATACTAGTGTGTATAATGTTACTATTGTATGTATATATATTATTGTTACACTGAGTGAAATTTTAGTACTGTATGTGTCTTCAAATAAATCATGATGGAAATGTACTGTACCTGTTTTCCTACTATAGAAGTCAATGGTTACAGGTTTTCAGCATTCTTCAAAATATCTTCTTTTGTGTTCAACAGAACAAACTCATAAAGGTTTGAAACCACTTTGGGGTGATAACATAGTGAGTAAATGTTCATTTTTGGGTGAACTATCTCTTTAAATGCGGTCTATGTAGAAAGTACACTGTAAACAGCAGTAATCTGGAGAGAAAACATTATTTGAATTCCCAAATTTAATTTTTTGAATATATGATTGATTTATGAATCTGTAACGTTGTATAAACTATGTTTGATTGATGAATCTTTGCAACAGTCTATGATGCCTCAAGTGCTGTCTAGATAGGGAGCACACTAGTTTTTGAAACACACACAAGAGGTTTTCTATGATATAATCACATCTCAATGACTCAGACAACTCTATCTGATATAGAGAGTTCTTTGACTGCAGCTCATAAACAGGCTTTACATGGAAATAATTAGCTATTCATAGCAGATTTCCAGTATATTTCTTCAGGAAAATGTAAACGGAGAAACAGAAAGTGCTCACTTGTCTCTCAGCACCACTCCCTCAATGCAGGCGCCGAACAACACCACACAGGACAGATCTGAGGTACATTGTTAAGAAAAGCATCCGTGCAGAGGAGAAACAGCAGATCTTATTACACCGGTCAGGGATTTAGGCTTGAGCGCATTGTTTTTCCTTTAGTGAAATGATAAAGCAATGGATTTGAAGTAACTTTAGAAAGCACAGTGAATTTTATAGTGATGAAGGATACAGATGATGGTGGTGGTTGCTATGGCGAGGATGGTGCCGATGGGAATGGACCTCTGAGCATCTCTGAGATCTCCGGATCTGTTGGATCCAGCCATGATACCTGAAGAACAGAGGAAATACAGATTACAGATATGTGTGATCTTAAAAAAGTGTTTTTAAGAAGCTGAAATAAAATGGTCACCACTTATGAAGATGGAAAAATAATAGCTAAAATAATCTTGGTGTATATGTGATTGACAAGCAAAATTGCATAATGTTCCTGATTCAAATTAATTTACATCTATTAATTTAGCAAAACTATTTACACCTTCAATTCAGTGGCAAAAACTGTGTTTTGGTAATAAAATCAAAACCATAAACTAGTAAATATGTTCTTTACATAATAAAACAATTAAAAAATGATCAAGTTAAACAAATAAAATTACAAAAATGTAAATAAAACTAAAGAGAAACATAAAAAAACAAGAAATTAATAAAATGGCAAAACAGAAAATATAAAAAAATAAACAAAAACTGATCTATATATAACAAATATTGTTCCAGAAATTCATAAATAAATGTATTTGGAGTTGTAAAAACACTGGATAGAGTTACTTTACATTACGTTCAATACATTTTGTGTTGGTATTAGCTAATTCATTTTAAAATGACTGAACTGACTGAATATTTCATGTAATTTATAAGTAAAAAATTTTTTGTGTTATATTAATACTCAATCAGCGATGCAGTGGCGCAGTAGGTAGTGCTGTCCTCTCACAGCAAGAAGGTCGCTGGTTCGAACCTCGGCTCAGTTGCCGTTTTTGTGTGGAGTTTGCATGTTCTCCCTGTGTTCGCGTGGGTTTCCTCCGGGTGCTCCGGTTTTCCCCACAGTGCATAGACATGAGGTACAGGTGAATTGGGCAGGCTAAATTGTCCGTAGTGTATGAGTGTGTGTGTGTGTGTGTGCGTACAGTATGTTTTCCAGAGATGGGTTGCGGCTGGAAGGGCATTCGCTGCGTACAAACGTGCTGGATAAGTTGGCGGTTCATTCCGCTGTGGCGACCTCGGATAAATAAAGGGACTAAGCTGACAAGAAAATGAATGAATGAAATGAATGAATTAATACTCAGCCAAAATGTACTGCATTCCTTTAGTTTTCATGTTTAAATTTATTTCTGCATTCAGTTGCGATTATTTTAACTTGTTTAAACAATGTTTAAAGGTATTTTGGAGCACATAAAAATACACTGATCATACTTCCAAGCTCAATGTGTCATTTTCTCCAAAGCTCAATGTGTATTATGAGACTCAGGCCGTGTCCTGAAATGCTATCGCTGTGTTTACAGGGTTCACATGAGGACCTGCTGAGCTCCAAAGGAATCTGAGAGCGTTAGACAGACTCGTGCTCATCACTAGATCACACTAGAGAATATGAGCTGAAAGAAAAATAAATCAGCAGTGATGAGGATTGATGCTGCCATTCTTTCAAGATTTTACACTTCGTCATCATAAGCGATGACCAGGCTACAGACAGACATCTTCAGTTTTGGATGAACTATTTGTTTGTTTGACTGTTAATATCTAGCCAAGTGGAAAATATTTCAATCACACTATTCATGCTATATTTCATCTGCAACAACAATGTGAACTTCTCTGAATGCAGATTTACCCAAACACCTGAGGAGATTTCTCTGCATGAAGGACTCGTGAATGGCAGATTAACCTGCTGCTGCTGTTGCTGCTGAATCTTCAATATGGTAATTAAATATAAAAGAAATGTGGATAATGTGTCGAGATTATTGACAAGGTATGCAACTCAGCAACATACTATTAATGAGGAAGTAGTATGTTCAAAAGCTTGCATGCTCTTCTGTTACACACTCAAAAGTATGAACCTTTGCTTCACTAATATTAGGATGTAGAAGTGTGTGAATTGGGATGCTGCACAGTTGATTATTTCCTCCCTATGATGCGTAAAGATGTTCATACCTGTGACTGAGGGGAAGTAGATTCCCACCAGCAGCGTGAAGAAGGCAGTGATGTCATTGACCACATACGGCATGTATTTATCCTGCGAGGAATCACTGGCAGACACAGACGGTATATCTTTCTCCACCAGCATCCCGGCCGGACCGTACTTTCCCCACATGTTCTCTGTGCAAACCATACAACAGCTCAATATTAGTGATGTGTGATGGTTATTAATCTTTAATCTAATGAATCTAATGGTTATTAGTCTTTGATAACATGTTGTTCACTTTATAAAACAAACTAAAACAAATTAACTTCAGAGTATACAAGAATTGACTGCATGATGAAGAATACAGATTGAATTCTTCAAAACACGCAACAACAACAACAAAAAAAACCCTGTATGGTTTTGTGTTTTAATATTCATAAGAGATGATATGGTTCAGTATTATTATACAGGAAAGGATGACGATATCAGCATGTGTGCATCATAGAAATTGTGATACTGCTTTTATATATCTGTGTGCTGATGACGCATGCATTATTTCTGCACTGAAATATCTGTTACTGTTACATTCTTACAAGAACATGCAATGATCAATGTGTTGACAGCATTTATAGCAGTAAAACAAGCCTGCGCTAAAATAAAAGTGTCCACAGTGCATTTGTTTTGCACTAAAATCAGTCTTTGGTAATGTTGCATTATTTTTGCTGCGTGATATGAGCTGTCAAACAGCATGTGGATGCATTTCCTGCAAATAAATTGCCAATTTTGGGATTGTGTGTTTTATCGATGATGCCACCAACAACTAATCAACGTTGACTCGACTTTGATGATATAAAAGTCGACTTCCAAAAATCTTAAGTCGTTCAACTCCTAATATATATATATATATATATATATATATATATATATATATATATATATATATATATATATATATATATATATATATATTAGAGCTGCAGGGTTAATCAAAAAAGATCCAGATCTTGATTCGACCCTCTGGATCAGGGGTCATCAAACTTGTTCCTGGAGGACAGGTGTCCTGCAGATTTTAGCTCCAACCCTAATCAAACACACCTGAACAAGCTAATCAAGGTCTTACTAGGAATACTCGAAACACCCAGACAGGTGTGTTGAGGCAAGTGGGAGCAAAACCTTGCAGGTACACCGGCCCTCCAGGACCAAGATTGGTGACTCCTGCTCTAGATGATCTTAATCCAGCATTTCTACCATTCTGCCAATCATTTTTTTTAAGTTCAGAAGAGAAGCAAAGGCGGCTGCACAAGTCTTCACATTGTTTCACACTCGTTGCTCAGCCACATGGACACCTCCAAATGATGTTGAAAGTGTCACATACTGTATTTGAAAGCGTCACATTGAGCATTTATAAGGTATAATTCACCCAAAAATGTCATTTCTGTCTTCATGTAATGATGTATTCCACCATTCCACCATTCAAACTCTACTCAATGTTTAGTATTTTAACCAGCAGACCTACGCATAATATTTTTATTATTGTTTTGTCATATGTTTGAAAGTAACAATATTAATAGCAGACTCATTAACATGTATTTTAGATCTACAGAATCGTTAGAAAATCCTCATCATTATTTTAAGCCAAAAAATTGCGATTCTTATTTTAGCCAGAATTGTGTAGCTCTAATATCTATATAACTTGTGTGTGTGTGTGTGTGTGTGTATGTATATATATATATATATATATATATATATATATATATATATATATATATATATATATATATAGTTCAAATTAAGCAGGACATTTCATCTCAGAGCAACAAATAAAGATTTGTTAGGTTTAAATGATTTTGGATGAATCGAGTGAGTCATGGATTCAAACAAACACACACAAACACACGTGTAGACACACACACAAACACACACACACAGATCCATGGACACAGTTTATTTATAAAATAGTTTGTATTTTTTTATTTGATTTAGTTTTTGGATTTGATTAATTTATTTACAATGATTCAAAGACAAACACATTTCATCATACTCAGCCAAATATCTTCATATCTGTGTGAACTCAATATTAAAACTAGTTGGAAATGAAGCGGATTAGCTTATTATTTTTTCCCACCCCATTAATATTTTCCTATACCCTATATAAAACTGATCTGAGCTGTTGTGTGTGTGTGTGTGTGTGTGTGTGTGTGTGTGTGTGTGTGTGTGTGTGTGTGTGTGTGTGTGTGTGTGTGTGTGTGTTTCTGACCTGAGATGACTCCGCTGGTGAGGCCGGGGATGCCCTGGATCTCGGTGACGCTGTTGAGGGTGAAATATTCATTACAGCTGGCATTGAGCTCCGGCCCCGAGCAGAACAGGGACCAGAGTTTGGTGGTCACCGTCACGTTGTCGATTATTTCTGTCTTCATGCACTTGTCAAAGTCGTGGTTCTGCAGTGTCCTGTTGCCCAACACACACACCCTGCAGGACACACAACACACCATTCACATTTATGAGAAGGCTATGTACATTTGTTTGGATTTTTTTATTCACCAAAGCACAAAAAAGCTAAAAAAAAATGATTAGCATATAAATATTATTATAATTAATGCGCACTTAACATGAAATTTAACTGATTAAAATATCCATTCATTCAATCATTATCTTTTCGGCTTAGTCCCTTTATTAATCTGGGGTCGCCACAGCGGAATGAACCACCAACTAATCCAGCACGTTTTTACGCAGCGGATGCCCTTTCAGCCGCAACCCATCTCTGGGAAACATCCACACACACATTCACACACACACACTCATACACTACGGACAATTTAGCCCATCCAATTCACCTGTACTGCATGTGTTTGGACTGTGGGGGAAACCGGAGCACCCGGAGGAAACCCAAGCAAACACAGGCTCGAACCAGCGACCTTCTTGCTGTGAGGCAACAGCACTACCTACTGCGCCACTGTGTCGCCCTGATTAAAATATTATAAAAATAATAATAATAGTAGTAATAATATAATAGGACAGCACGGTGGAGTAGTGGGTAGCACAATCACCTCACAGCAAGAAGGTCACTGGTTTAAGCCCCGGCTGGGTCGTTTTGCGTTCATGTGTGGAGTTTGCATGTTCTCCCCGTGTTGGCGTAGGTTTTTATAATTAACATGCACTTAAACAAAATTAAAGTAAATAAAATGTTGAATTAAACTAAATAATGTAAAATAAGATAAAAAATAAAATAAAAAAAATAATTAATTTAAACTGTTACACACTAAATAATCATTTGGATATATTTTTAAAGTTTTTTTCATTTCAAGTGTCCTTCATCTTCATTTAGATAAATTTCTTTATTTTTATTTTTACTTTAAAAAAATAAAGTAAAATAAATAATCAATTTAATTAACTTTTATTAATTTAAATTTATTTTAAATAATGATATCTTTTGTTTTGTTTTTTAAAATTTCAACAGTTAATTAATAATTACCATTAAAATAAAATAAAATAAATTCCCAGTACTGGGTTGCAGCTGAAAGGGCATCCGCTGCGTAAATTATATGCTGGATAAGTTGGCGGTTCATTCTGCTGTGGCAACTCAAGATTTATGAGGGGGCTAAGCCGAAAAAGAAAATGAATGAATGAAAAAATTTAATAAAATAATAATAAATATAAATTAAAAAAATGTCATGCTGTTTTTTTGTTTCTGGTAGATTCAACAAAACAAAAGCAAAAAAAATAAACTAAAAACTAAACTTTTAATTCAATTTCATTAACCATTTAAAAATGTTTAAAAAGTATATAATAAAAATTTGTGTAGTTTTAACAGAATAAAAAAAACTATTTTTTTAAAACTAACTAAATAAATAAATAATAAAAAACTAATTAAATAAAACAAATTTAAATAAAATAAAATATAATGCAAGTAATTGGTATAAATCTGACAGTCAGACTTACGGAAAGACGGGCGGCTCGAAGATGGTTTTGATGACTCCTGCATAGATGGCCAATATAGAAAGAACCACACAGGCCAGGAAAACCAGCGCCAGCTTGTTGACGTACTTGACTCCGACGAACACCACGAGAGCCATGAGCGTCAGGCAGCAGGTGCCGTAAACACGCATGTTATTCAGCAGAGCCTCCGCCTCATCAGCTTTATCCTCTGCTTTAAAGATGGCGGCGCTCGGCACGATGTACGTCTGACACACAACACACAATAAACATCCACACTTCAGTTTACTGTCAGGTCAAGTGTTTAACTTTATACTGAACAGAGGAAAGAGAACATTCTTAGGAGTCAAATAAGAATATGTCATGAATATTTAATATATTATACACTCGTTTACAGATATTCCTGCTTCACAGTGTCTTAATGAAGCTGTATTAATGAACTCTCACCAGCAGGATCTCGATGGTGCCGAGGATGTACATGGCACCGGCGAATGTGGTGCCCAGATAGAAACACAAACCCACAGCGCCACCAAACTCAGGGCCCAAAGAGCGAGAGATCATGTAGTACGAGCCACCGGCTGCACAAAAACACCAGCACATCATCAGTCAACACAGCAAAACAAAACACTCAACGTCAATGACAACACTGTGGAAAACACTGGTTTAGAAAAGATTTCTGACATGCACACACGTTTACGTTGTAAATTAATATGAAAGTGTCTTACCTGGGACAACACCGTTTGTGGCAATGGCACTCATTGATATGGCGGTCAACATTGTCTGTGAACAAAAAACAAAAACACAATAAAACACAATTACTAACTAAAATGAAATAAAATGCTATAAAATAAAACTAAACATTAAACATATTGATGACATTTTTTCAATGTAAATTAAAATCAAATAATTAACATTATTTAGAGTTTAAAACGAGAATATACAATATGTAAATGAATGTTACATAAATCTAAATACAAAAAAACACATTTTAAATTAAATTAACAATTAAAATTAAACATTAAATTTAGCTTAAAAAAGTAAATTAAATATAAAATAAAAAAATTACATTTAAATTTTAGTCATACACGCGCGCGCACACACGCACACGCGCACACGCACACGCACGCACACGCATACACACACACACACACACACACACGCACGCACGCACGCGCATGCGCACACAATATTATATATATATAAAAAAAATGACTTTCGTTTATTTTTCTTTGTTTATATTTATATAGTTACTATTATTTCACATTTATTTATATAAATTGTATATACAGTTAAATACAAAATGAACATTTTCAAAATTAAAATAAAATAAATTAAATTAAATAAAACAAAATAACATTTTAACAACTTGTTCATCTCTTCGGTTTGGTTCCTAGTCCTTATTCACTCTTTCAGCACAAAAAGGTTTATTTAAAAATATATATAACCAAAACAGACTTCTGTTATATATTTCTGAAATTTCCATAAATAATACACAATACATTAGTTTTGACAGGATCTACTAAATATGTCAACTACTCTAACAATGAAGGTTTTCACATAAAAGAAAATAAACAACAGGTAAAAATAAATAAATAAATGACCACATAAATTAATGACAAAAAAAATTAAATTAAATAAATTAATAAAAATAAATGTCTATAACATAAATACGTTGTCAGCAATATTTCACAAAAAATTTAAATAAATAAATAATACTAAGCATTATTTAAAATAATATTTCACATCAGATCTAATAAACTGGCTGTTTAAAATGCCCAAGTGGAAACTAAATCCAACTCTACTCATCCAGGACAGATAAATGAAGACGGTAACAAGCTCAATGAAGCATCATATGCAGTACACTAGAGACAGCGGTGTGTAATTAATAATTAACAAAGGTCTTCTCGTCTGTGTTTCCAGGAAGGTGTCGTCCTGTGAAAGGTCATCTGCATCTGGCCGTTATGCAATCCTCTGGAGCGTCCTTGAGCTGAACGTCCACATAAATCTCTCCAGGAGATCCTGGACTAAAGCCAATTATCCTCCATGTTCCTCGGGCAGGCTTACAGGAGGAATAAAGCTCTCAGTGATCTTTACTGGACAAATACTGAGATGCTGAACACTTTATTACTGCAGTGTATCAACAATAGGCTTCAAAAATTACAGTCAGATATATTTATTCAACATACACGATTCATAATGAGATTTACTGGTTTATATATAAACTGTAATAGATCCAGCAGTGTAGTAATGCGCTTCCGTTCCTCTTTAATTCCAGCATTAGTTAGCTCACTTTATACAAGCAATTTAGATGTAAATGTGTGTGCTATTGAATATGCTAATGAAAATAGAGTCATTATTGATACTTTTTAATGTTATTTTTATTTATTTATTTATTATTTGTTCATTTAATTATTAACATATTCTCATTTTCTCTGTATTTACTGCATTTTTTAGGTCTGGGATTGAATTAAATGTTTGTATTTGTTTTGTTCTATAAAGATCTGATAAATAATTTATTTTGAACAAAATTAGAGCATTTTGAAACAGGTCAGAAAAATAAAATTTGTTTTAATTGGAAATCAGGATTCTTCCACCAAATATTGATTTATTTACTGTTGTGAAATAAGGTAAAATAAAGGAATAAATGAATGAATGAATTATGAATATGAATGAAAAAAGTAAGAAAAAATAAAATAGGTCAAAATAATAAATCTTTTAATATGCTGTGATTGAAAAATAGTTGTAAGCTAAAATAAATAAATAAAGTAAATAATTAATTTAATTACTTATATCAATATAAATATGAAATTAAATAATAAAAAGTTATACAAATAAATTAAAATAAAACAAAATGGATAAAAATAATAAATGTTTTAATTTGCTGTGATTGAAAAATAAGGATTACACCACCAAATATTGATTTATTTACTCATCTGTCGTAAGCTAAAATAAATAGAACAAATAATTAATTAAATTAATAATATCAATATAAATATGGAATAAAATAATAAAAAGGAATACAAATAAAATAAAACAAAAAAGGTAAAAATAATAAATGTTTTAATTTGCTGTGATTGAAAAATAAGGACTACTTCACAAAATATGGATTTATTTACTAATCTAAAGTAGGATGAAACAAATAAATAACTACATACATACATAAACAAATAAATAAAAATAGAACAGAAAAATAAAATAAAATAATATAAAGTTTTTAAAAAGAAAACTTGCTCACTTATTGCACCAAATATTGATTGTGTTTACTCATCCAAGATACAAATAAAAAATAAAGCTAAACTAAAAGTAATTTAAAGTAAAATAAAATAATTTAATTTCATTTGTTTTTACTGAAAATCTGTTTTATTCAACAAAATATTGATTTCTTTATGCCTCTAAAGAGTTTGTGTTGTCTAAGAAAAACAAAAACATCTCTAAAAACAACTTCTCTTTGGTATTTTCCGTAACCAAAAGAAGAAAATCCAAATGTTTTTATTTTGGAGGAATTTGGAAGATATGTCTGTAAATATAAATATTATTTAAATAATAAAATAAGGGTGGCAAGGCGGCTCAGCGGGTAGCACTGTCTCCTCACAGTTAAAAATGGTCACTGGTTCGAGTCCCGGCTGGGTCAGCGTGCGTTTCTGTGTGGAGTTTCCATGTGGCATGGGTTTCCTCCGGGTGCTCCGGTTTCCCCCACAGTCCAAACACATGCGCTATGGAGGAGTTCATGAAATGAATTGGCCGTAGTGTATGTGTGGGTGTAAATGTGAGTGTGTGGATGCGACCTCAGATAAATAAAAGACTAAGCCATGCAAAATGAATGAATAATAAAAATAACACATTTTTTAAAAGTTAAATAAAATGATGTGTTGCTCAAACTAGGCTACTTTATGATAATACTTTACATTTACGGATAGCAGTTTTCTTTTTACCAAGAGTGACATTGTTATTAACTTTTAAAAGCACATTTTAATTTAAACATTGAAGTTTTATTTATATTTTACCTGTAAGCACAGTGCAGTGTTAATGTTTAAACTATATATAATGTTTAAAGTGACTGACAATAATAAATATTAATAATAATAAAAACTAATCTGCCATGTTTTTGAACTGTGCAGAGCTGCAGCTGCTTAATTAGGCCCACTATGCTACTGTATTTCAATACATTATGGTGGCACTTGGATAGACAACTTTTTTGTGAGGTGGAACTTGGTGAAAAAGGTTTGAGAACCACTGCTCTAAACAATATAGGGAGCGCGTCACAGGCTGTCATTGTTCAAAAATGACCCAATGTGAATATACAAGCAACTTCAGCTCAGTAAGCATAGGTGGAATAGCGCGATTTACTGATGTTTTGTTGTTAAACTAAATATTAATCAACATTACACAATCAACACACTCGGCATTAGCTTTATGGGACTAAAATAGTTTAAAACAGAACATGACCTGTCTAAAAGAAATCCTTCAGCCATGGTGTTGTCCTTCCTCAAGTGTGCAAAACTCACTCCAGTATTGAGTCAGGATTTTTAAAAGTTTTGATTCAGCATTTGCTTTGCTTTTACTGCTGTGACAGTCTCTTGTGCAAAAACGGCGGATCTATGTGAATAGGGGTGGGCAGACGTACAAGTCTACATTTGGATCATTTACTTTAATCATTACTATTGGACTGAGAAGAGACTTTCAACCAGCACAACAAAGTGAAGTTTGTTTATAAACTGATTTCGAGAGGATCACATGCCATGATTGACATGGCTGGCCCCGAGTCAAGCTAATGTACAATCCTCCAATCAGACGATTCCTAACTTAGTATAAATAACCAAAGAATTTTACCATAGTCATCTTTGTCTTGAAGAATCCCCCCTTCCACCCCCTCTCCTCCTCTTTTTCCTCTATAGGGCAGCACAGCGGCTAGCACTGTTGCCTCACAGCAAGAACGCCTCCGCTTCGGGTCTCTACCCAGCCAGTTGGCATTCCTGTGTGGAGTTCATGTTCTCCCTGTGCTCGCGTGGGTTATCCCCGGGTCCTCCGGTTTCCTCCCACAGCCCAAAACTTGAGACATAAGTAAATTGCCTAAACCAAATCAGCACCATAGTCAATTCAACTAGTAGCAATCCTTAAGCAGCAGGTGGGAAGGGTTCTCGAGATCTACCTGAGCTCAAACTCCCCTCTCACCCTGCAAACAGGAGAGAGCCCCGGGCTCGAGGATCTTACGAGGTCAGGGCTCTCTCTCAGTACAGCATATATCGTAAAACGAGACAAAAAGCCGCTTACTCACGTGAGCAGTATCAGCTAAGTGTGAACTCTTGAAACAGGTTTCTGAAGGCAATCACCAACTGCACCTTTAAGCTTTTTTTTGCAGAGTAAAATAAATATATTGTATAAGAATATGTTGATTATATGTTTATCATTGTTGTTTGTTTATGTACATGTGCAGTATATGGGTTAATTCTAAATGTAAATAGTTTGACATACTGATGGGGCCTTTATAAATGCACATCACAGCGAACAGAAGGCCATGGTCAACCGCGGTAAGCCGCAGCACGAAATTCTCTGACTCAGGAAATACATCCCCAGTAGGGGGCAGCCGAGCTTCATTCGCAGTAGTGGCCAATGGAAATATGGCAAATTATGTGGAAGGACTTTTAATTTGTCAGTAACCTGGGTTAGGTGTTACTGGTGAACTGTATGCCATTGCAAAATTAGCGCATTAAAGGTCTGTTTTTTTTTTTAATTTGAGTGATATGCGATATAAAGGGTCTCAGATTGTACAAGAAGCACTGCATTGAATTACATTTCCCCCCGCCATGTGTTTATAATATGAACATTTATATTACACCAGTATTTTTAATGGAGGCTCTGCGCCAGCCTGCTAATCCTGACGGGCGCGTGCGAGTAAGCGGCTTTTTGTCTCGTTTTACGATATCTAACTGATCATATTTTAATCACATTACAACATCGATGCTCTAAAAGTAACCAAATAAAATAGAAAAAAAGTCACATTACCCATTCACCGGAAGTTTGGGACACTAGTTTTGCATATACCCTATTCTGAAGGCTGCGGGTGGCTGTTTCTCCATGTTTTGCTCAAATTTGCTAAAATCTAATACAGTTAATGTGCCTGGGATAACTGTGTTTATTGCTTTCTGATAAGAGAAATAGTTTCATTTTAGACACAAAACTTTACACAGAGCTCAGTTGAATGTTCTTCGATTAGGCTAGTTATCAATGAACTTTTAAAGCCAAAACAAATGGTAAATTATAGGTTGTTTTCAATTTAATATAGTTTAAATAAATAAATAAAATACCATTTAATAGGTTAGATATACTGTAGGATAAATTAATACAACATATTTTTTTAATTACATGAAAATAAATATGCTTTATGTGTATGTATATTTTATGTACAGTTAAAGTCAGAAATATTTGCCCCCCTTTGAATTTCTTTTTTTATTCTTTTTAAAATATTTGCCAAATTATGTTTAACAGAGCAAGGAAATGTTCACAGTATGTCTGATAATATTTTTTCTTCTGGAGAAAGTCTTATTTGTTTTATTTAGGCTAGAATGAAAGCAGTTTTAAATTTTTTAAACACCATTTTAAGGTCAATATTATTAGCCCCTTTAAACTATATACTTTTCGATAGTCTACAGAAGAAACCATCATTAAACAATAACTTGCCTAATTACCCTAACCTGCCTAGTTAACCTAATTAACCTAGTGAAGCCTTTAAATGCCACTTTAAGCTGTATAGAAGAGTCCTGAAGAGTATCTTGTCAAATATTATTTACTGTCATCATGACAAAGATAAAAATAAATCAGTTATTAGAGATGCGTTATTAAAACTATTATGATTAAAAATGTGTTGAAAAAAATCTGCTCTCTGTTAAACAGAAATTGGGGAAAAAATAAACAGGGGGGCTAAAAATTCTGACTTCAACTGTATATTTGACATAATTATGCTTTTTCCTATTTAATGATGTGTGTTTTTGTGTTGTATTTATATATTTATTTCATATAAGATTCATGTAATTTACTTCATGGGAGAAGGGAATATTTCTTTCTGTTTTCCTGTAAAACTATCCTGCTGTTCCTGTAAAAGTTTAACAAACAGATTAAACAAACTGGGCCGTATAAAGTAGGTTGTGCGCAGAGTTTGATATTGATTTGACTTTGCTAAGTGAGGAAGTGCAGTAAATGAGCTTCAGCCAGACTTACACACGTCATCTATCTCTAATACACACTATATAAAGAGCAGCGGTGGGATCTGTTCCTGTTGGAGCTTTCCAACGAAGGAGCGAAACTCTTCAATCCCGACCGTGACACAATCACCGGAAACATATAATCACACTAGTAAGTAAAGGTGGAGGTGAATTAGACGCTTGATCCCATTGTCTGATGTGCTTTATAAATAAGCGGCGGCGTTAAAGACTTCTGAGCACAGGAGATTACACACACACGCACAAACACACACACACGTGTGGTTCAGACTGAAGAGGAAGAGCTAAAGTTAGCCTGTAGGATCAGTGGACTGAACTCACACACACACACACACACACACACACACACACACACACACACACACACACACATACACACACTCTCACGCAGGGTCACACAGTTTGAGCTCATACACACTCAAACACATATTCAAAGACACGCATGCACACTTACACAGACACACACATTTACAAAAACACACACATATTCAGACACACACTCAAACTCACAGACACACACACTCAAATTCACAGACGCACACATGCACTGTAACACACTCACGCACCGGCAGGGTCACAGTTTGGGATTCACTCATACAGACACGCAAAGAGAAACAGAAACACACACTCAGAATTTACAGACACACATACATGCACACTCACACACCGACAGGGTCACACAGTTTGGGACACACACACACACACACACATATATAAATAAATACTTAAATTGACAGACAGTTTGGGGCACACACTCGCACACACACACACTTAAATTGACTGACAGTTTGGGGCACACACACACACACACACACACACACACACACACACACACACACACAGATACTTAAATTGACAGACAGTTTGGGGCACGCTCACACTCACACAGACACACACACACACACTCTAAATACGCCCAACTCACTCACCCACCCACCCACCCACACACCCACACACACACACACACACACACACACACAAGCAAGCACCGGCAGCTACATGTACACACATGCACACCCACACACACATTCACAGATAAACACACCCACAAACTCAAACCCACTTAAACACACACACATGCACACGCACACACACTAACTCACTCACTCACAAACTCTCATGGACACTCATGCACACACACACACAGACTCAAAGGCACACATACACTCATACATTCACAGACGCTGACATACACACACAACCACACACTCATGGACACTCACTCACTCACAAACACTCCCCTAACAATGTCCTCATAAGACCATCTCGTTATAATACCAGTCTCATACCCATGTCATTATACAAGCGTGTGTCCTAATATTTCACAGAAACATGCACACACACACACAATCTACTGTAAACACACTCACTCACACACCCACTCACACACAGACAATCACAATGTCCTCATAAGACAACATCTCCTTACAATCCCAGTCTCATACCCATGTCATTATACAAGCGTGTGTCCTAAAAGGTCTCAAAAACATTCACACACACAGGTTCGACTTACACACGAGCAGCACATGGACACGATGATAAAGGCCTCCAGAATTCCTGCCGTTCCCACAATCCAGGTCATCCGCAGGAACAGAATCACTCCCAGGATGTTCTGCAGACACGGCAGGTAAACCCCGATAAACGTCCCCATCTGCGGACTCTGGACAGAAAGACAGCACAACAACACATTCAGTGTGTCTTCAACAAAATGTGCATGAAATATTTAGGCTAATTGGGCATCGAGACATTTCATTTTCAATAAACCCCAGGCAAAGCTTCACACTTTAATGCCACAAACATTTATCCTCTATCTCTTAAAGAAAGTATTTCTGAGATTTTATCGTTATTTAGTCTAATTACTCAACTAAATATTGCTTTAACTCTGGTATCGTGTTGTCTAGAGCAGTGTTTCTCAACCACATTCCTGGGGGACCACCAACACTGCATGTTTTGGATGTCTCCTTTGTCTGTCATCCCCATTACAGGTCTTTCAGTCTCTGCTAATGTGCCGATGATCTGAATCCGGTGTGTTTGTGTAAGGAGACCTGGAAAATGTGCAGAACTGGTGATCCTCCAGGAACATGGTTGAGAAACACTGCTCTACACTTAAAAAAAGATATGAGAGAGTCATAACTAAAATGTTTTTGTGTTGCTTGTGTTCAGGGCTTGACATTAACTTTTTTGATCATCAGCCACTGTGGCTAGTAGATTTCCAACATTACTAGCCACTTTGCATTTTTACTAGCCACAGTTTTGTTGTATATGCATAAATTTGACTTTGACATGCTAAAATGACTTGATTTAGATGTTGTGTTATGTCCACATGCCTCATTCATTTCACTTTTTATGTGTTCAGTGAGCATGAGCAAAAGGGTTGTGGTTTCATAATGTCGCGTTGCAATCAGTTATTGTTTTACTTGGTTTTTCAGGGCTCTAAAATTAAGGACTTACCAAATTTATCTCTGACCACACACTGTAAAAACCCAGCAGTCAAATTTATCAATTGAAATGAGTGTAGTTAACTCAAAATGTACTGGAAGCTAACTCCTTCGAAAAGACTTGCTGAAGCTAATGAGTTAATTAAGTGATTGAGTGTGTGTTGATTGAGCATTAAGTGAATTGTGGGGACATTACATGAGTGTCAAATGTTTTTATACTGTACTATCTGCATGTGGCATTACATAATGAGTAGCATTACTACTGGCAGCAGACTCTGGTTTACTATCAATTCTTATTCTTCTGGACTTGAGTGCAGTCTTTGATGCGGTTTCGCACAAGGTTCTTTTGAATCCCTCACTAGGGATCTCTGGCACCCCTCTTTAATGGTTTAAATCAGGGGTTGTCAACTGGTTTGGCAATGGGACCCACATTTTTACATAGTCATCAAGCCGAGACACAATTTTTTAGGAACTAATACAATTTTAAGAATTATACTTAATTTGTATTTGTTTGTTAACAGATACATCAAGTTCACCAAGACTTACAAATAAACAATATTTTATTGCTGTCATTTAACAAAATGGATCAAATTATAGACATATTACAAAGTAAAAACGACAAATACTGTTAATAATAAACTGTTAATAAAACATATGTCTGGTTTCTAAATGTTGGTTTGATTTAGAAGATTTCATGCTCTCTTATGAGAGCACCTCACTACATATGACACACTGAGGCTTTAAGTCTTTTTTTGTGGTCAATATATTTATATATATATCCATACTTTACATATTCAGAGTCGTACTTGCGCTTCGACATATTTGTTGCAATAATTAAATGAAATTTCACATGTCAAACGATAGGGTTGTCGTGCACACAATTCAAAATAAAAGTACGGTATAAGCAAAATAAGTAAACAATTTAACGTATGTTGTTTTTTTCCCACACACTCGTGACCCACTGAAAATGTTCCCACGACCCACCAGTTGAGAAACACTGGTTTAAGACATATCGTAATCAGTTTGTCCAAAATAAAGATTTGAAGATCTCAGATTGTCACGACTGGTGTCCCACAAGGTTCCGTACTGGGTCCACTCCTGTTTATCATATATCTATTGCCTCTTGGTGACATTTTCAGAAAATACAATATACACTTTCACTGCTATGCTGACGACACTCAACTCTACCTATCCACCAAGCTGTCTAAAACAAAACAGACATGTGCATTGTTCGCATTCTGAATGTATTTAACTCTGCTAAATTCTACTAAAACAATATCAACTATGAAACGCAGAGCAGATTTAGACCTCATCTATAAGTGCATCTAAATGGACATTTAATGTGTCAGCGGAAGCTTTTAGCCTTAAAACACACATAATCCACATCATCCACCCAAAGCGTAAATGATCCAACACTGAGGCTGAGTGTTTCCTCCCAAATCAAGCAAATGAGCTGCTTCAATCTTCATAAAAAATCTAAAAATCAATCACTTCTACAGAAATCATAACCAGCCTTCAAAAAACCCCATCAGACTCATATGAATAAGCACATACCCAAGTGAGAAGATGCTTCCCGCTGGACTTGACTTGTCAAATATACTTGAAGAATAAAGTTTAGAAACTGAGAGTTGAATCTGGTAACATGGGTTGTTTCCTCATGCAGGATATTTCCTCTGTCTGATCATCTGAAGCAGTGGTCTCACACTAATGAGAGCATCCCTGTTTATCTGCTCTGCCCAGTGACGAGGAGACTTTCTGGGGTCTGTGGTTTTGTGGGTATTGCCTGGTCAGTTCTTCAAAATTTACTTACAGTCAGCAATAACCAGCAGAACTCAAAGAGTCTCTGCCCTCTGGGCTTCACATGGAAAACAAAGAAATATTGTTGCATTTGTGCATACGTTGACAAATCTTTGCATAAGGCTGTGGTCTGTAAAAATGTATTAATATTTGTTTCAAGCAGTGGCGGACAGCAACCGAACATTTCTAAGCATCTGTATTTTATCTGAGTGTTTTTACTTTAGGAAGCCTTTACTTTTACTTCACTACATTCCAAAACATGCATTCATACTTTTTATTTCAGCTTAGTTCCTTATTTATCAGGGGTCCACAGCTGAATGAACCAATAACTATTCCGGCATGTGTCTTACTAAGTGTGTGTCCTTCCAGACACAAACCTATTCAGACACACACTAATTAAGGGTGTCACGATCCTCCAAATCCTCAATTTGATTCCAATTTCGATTCTAAATTCACGGTTCGATTCGATTTTCGATTATGAATAATTCATTAATAAATAACAAATTAATTATTTGTAGCCTACCGTTTAAACTACCTGACCTGCATGGTCTTTGTTTTACCCATAAACAAACCATAAAGTAAATGAATAAAGGCAAGATACACACATAATTACCACCTGTCAATCACTTTTTCTGCGGGACTCGTGAATAGGCAGTGATCTGTGTCGTTATAATGGCATCGGTAAAAAAGACGCACAACCGTAAAAGTACAAGTGAGTGAAAGATTGAAGCAGTCTACTGACCCGCTGACTGCCTGGACCCGCTGTCTTGAGCGCATGACTGTGTGTGCGTCTGTGTCTGTGTGTGTGTCTGTGTGTGAATGAGTGTGTGTGGTTACGTGATGTGCGTTTTCAGCGGTAGTGAGGAAGGAAGGCTGCTCAGAAACGCTACACGCCAGTGTGGATGTGGATCGTTGTCGTTCTAAAATGCCATTTAAAAACTAAGACCTATTAGTGTAAACAGGGCCTGAGTGTGTATTTTTCGCTAGCGGATTTGCTACGGGACGGGGCGGAGGATCGTGATGCGCCCATCGTCTATCGGCCCAACCCTAACACGTACATAGCAGAGCTTGCAAACTGTGTTTTGTCAACATAACTCACTGGAAATCCAAAATACTTCCACACCGGCGACTTTATTGAAAGAGGAGAGGGTTTAAGCTCTGTCGACGGGTCTCCTGCGTCTGCAGTTCAACAAGCACTTCAACAAGCGTTTTTTTTTTTTCGCGCTTGGCTAGCCAAGCTGACGTGACATGGGGGCGTGGCAGCATCGACGATTTTTTTTTTTTTGATTCGATAATCGAAATTGAGCATAAATTTCGATCAATTTTGATTTAAAATCTAAATCGAGACACCCTTAACACTAATACACTATGCACAATTAAGTTCATCTAATTCCCCTATAGCGCATGTGTTTAGACTGCGGGGGACACACAGGCAGAACATTCAAACTCCACACAGAAACAGCAACTGACCCAGCTCGAACCAGCGACCTATTTGCTGTGAGGTAATTGTGCCACCGTGCTGCCCCAGTCATTGCTGTGTCATTTTGAAGGGTCATAAATGTCGCCATTTTCCCTTGTTTCGTGCTTTTATATTTTTGTAATTCAGTTTTTTATTTCCGAAAATGAAAATTTACAATTTTTTACAATCAGATAGAAAAATACTTTTAACAGATATTACCCCATATATATTTCCCATCCCCCCACCCCATCACACACACATCAGGAAACACAGAATAACTATAGTTTAGACCAAGCTGGGTGAGGCAGTGGTGCAGTAGGTAGTGCTGTCGCCTCACAGCAAGCAGGTCGCTGGGTCGCTGGTTCGAGCCTTGGCTCAGTTGGCGTTTCTGTGTGGAGTTTGCATGTTCTCCCTGCCTTCGCGTGGGTTTCCTCCGGGTGTTCCGGTTTCCCCCACAGTCCAAAGACATGCCATACAGGTGAATTGGGTAGGCTAAATTGTCCGTAGTGTATGAGTGTGTGTGAATGTGTGTGTGGATGTTTCCCAGAGATGGGTTGAGGCTGGAAGGGCATCCGCTGGGAAAAAACTTGCTGCATAAGTTGGCGGTTCATTCAGCTGTGGTGACCCCGGATTAATAAAGGGACTAAGCCAACAAGAAAATGAATGAATGAATAAACCAAGCTGTTCGATAATTTACATTAAGTTGACATTCGTAGCATAAGATGAGGGTTAAGTGTCCAAGATTTCTTTGACGTTGCATATATAGATTTTCCATACCGTAAGAATGTCCACTGTTTCGTGCTTTTATTTCACATTTTGCACAGATTAATGTTACTTGATGGGTTTGTCTGTCTGTTCTTTGTTTTTCTATGTCTGCAAAAACTATTATTAAAAAATATATATAAAAAAACAGTGTCTATTAATCTCTCTGTTAAACAGCACTTGGGAAATATTCAAAAAAGACTTAAAATTACACAGCAGGGCTGATACATTTCTCTTCAATATACACACAATAAAATAACAATTTCGCTGCTTGTTTAAACTGCTTAACACAACGATTTTTTTGGGACAACTTAATATATTATGCTCGATCCACTTCAGTTTGTTAAGGTAACTGTGTTGGGATAATATGAATGTATTGTGTGTAACCCTGCATGTTTAACAGTATATCAAACACAAATAAAAACAGTAGTGTGTGGAACAATGGAACGACAAGAACTTCAGATCATTTCCCCCACGACAGACATTCCATATGATCTGACCTGCATTAATTTCCTGTCATATTTTCAACAAAGGCTGAAAGAATGCAGAGAATGTGTGTCTGATTTGTTTTCGATTGAAGAACACAGACAGAAGGATCAGACATCCTCCTGCAAGCTTCACATGAGTCTTTCTTAAGTATTTCTCTGTGTTTTACCTTGACTGTTTGCTTCTTGGCACCTTCATCTTCATCGGCCTCCTCGTGTTCTCGGACGCCCTGTGTGAGGTTTGTATAGTTGGCCAGTTTGTTGAGCAGTGAAGACACCATGGGATTGCTGTCCATCTCCTCCTGAAAGAGTTAAAGGTCATGCATTTGATGAAAGGCTCCAAACCGGCAAACACAAAACAACTTCTTTCAAACCTCAGTAAAAATAAATGTAGCAGGCGAAGTCAAAGGACGTAATGACAGCTTTGTCCGTCCCGAAATCATAAAATTATACAAAAATAAAATTCATGACCCTTGAATTGCTTTATTTGTGGTCAGAAACATGAAAAGGGGAATGTGGAAAACAGAGTAGAGAAAAGCCAGATGTCAAATATAGTGTTGAAAAAAAAACCTTAAGGTTTGTTTAGACTTGAATGGATGTGAATAATCCCACAAAACACATCAAGATTATATTTGGAAATTTTTTTTTGCTTTATAATAAATTCAGCAAAAATAGCCAAAACAATTTTTTTTGAAGCGAAATATAATTTTTCATTTCAAAATAATAATATAAATAATATAAAATATGATAAATAATTTACTAGAATTGTCCGAGCATTATTATGCTGGTATTCTTTAAAGCCACTTTGGATAAAAGTGGCAATAAAATAAAATAAAATAAAATTAAATTAAATTAATTTAAATAAAATACTAAAATTTTGTAAAAAATAAAATAAACAAAAAGAAGAAAAAAATATATTTTTAAAGAAGTCAGAATAACAAATGTTTTCATTTATTATAATTGAAAATAAGATTTATTTATTATTATTCGACCAAATATTGATTTCTTTAATCATTTGAAGTTGTAATAAAATAAAATAAAATAAAATAAAATAAAATAAAATAAAATAAAATAAAATAAAATAAAATAAAATAAAATAAGAATTTTAGAATAAACTGCCAACTTATCCAGCAAATGGTTTACACAGCGGATGCCATTCCAGCTGCAACCCATTACTGGGAAAAAATGTAATAATATATAAAAAAAAGAAAATCGAATACAATTGAATTAAAAATAAATAAAATACAAATAAATTAAAGTTAAATAAAAAAATAAAATAAATAAAATACAATTTAATTAAAAATAAATAAAATACAATAAAATAAGTAAAATAAAATAAAATAAAATTTAATTTAAAAATACAACAAAATGAAATAAAATAAATAAAATACAATTTAAATAAAAAATATAAAAATAATAAAAAATAAATAAAAATACAACTTAATTAAAATAAATAAAATACAATTAAATAAACCAAAATAATACAATATAATTAAATAAAAATAAAATAAAGAATAGGTCAGAATAACAAATGTTTTTATTTATTCTAATTGAAAATAAGAACTATTTATTCCACCAAATATTGATTTCTTTAATCATTTAAAGTTGAAAAAAAAAATGAAATAAATAAAACAAAAATAAAATGAAATAAAATAAAGACAAATAAAAAATACATAAAAAAGAATATTTTATAAGTCTTATTTGCTATAATTACAAAAATAATTATTTATTAGTATTACACCAAATATTGATTTTTTATCATTTGAAGTTGTAATAAAAAAAATAAATAAATAAATAAATAAATAAAATAGGTTACGCTCAACAAGTTTTATCAGTTGTTGTGACAGAAACTTTAGATTTTTTTACTCTTCTGTTAAGAGTAAATAAGAAAAATAAAACAAATTCAATAAAATCACCAATTATAAACATCATTTTTATTGTACTGTTAATGAAAAATATCCTAAATTAATATCAAAACAAATATTTAAAATTCTTGCGAGAAAATAACATTAAAGACAGTACCTCGAAAAGTGCCATGTTTTTCCCATCATACAGATTCCCCTTATCATCATCAGTGTTATTGATGAACGGGCTGCTTTCCCGAGGGTTTCCATCGCCTGCATTAAATGAAGACACAGAAACAGAGAGAAACGACATGATTACAGATGATGTGCACTAAAATGCTGTTTGCTTACAGAAGCGAGAGGTTATTATGGTGTGTTATAGTGTGTGTGTTATCTTTTTTGTAAATCAGGCAGAAGCAGACTCGTATCCATTGGCGCAGGTCAGATGTAATGATTTTCCTATAATTAGAGCATGATGGCGATCGATGTGTTTCGGTTCACTGGACAAACACTGACATTCAGAGCAGCTGTCAGCAAGAGTAAAGCACTTATAAAAGCTCAAATGTATAGCTTAAACATGCAATTAGTCGGAGGTGGACGCCACTGATCCGCCAGCGCTTCTGCGTATATATAGATGTCAAATTGTAGTGATTTTAAATACACATCTGGACTGATCTGCGTCACTATAGGATTTAAGTTCAGATTACAGTGCTTTATTTATTTCCTCAGACCTATCATTCAGCTCAGATTTAGAGAGAGGCTATTTCTGAAATGGAAATTGTGTAGATTTACAATGTTCATTCAGAAATTGGCATCCTTCACAAATTTTAAACGTGATTCAGTCAAAAGAGCCGATTCATTTACAAATAAAGAAAGTGAATCTCTTTGAGTGAATCATTGAATCACTGACTCAAATGATTCATTCAAAAATAGATTCATTCAAAAAGGAAACACAGCATGAACAAATGTTCCGTTTTTTGCTTTATTTGGTACTATTTTTACTGGTAAAATACACAACAGATTAGATTCATTAATTAATTTATTAATCCTCAGACCTAAAAAAAGACAAATAAGTAAAATCAGGAAGTACCATGTTAAATTAAACATAACAATTGTTGAAAGATTCAACTTTAAACTTCATTCAGTCGAAAGAGCTGGTTCATTTGCAAACAATGCAAGTGACTCTCTTTATAAGTGAATCACTGAATCCCTGACTCAAATGATTCATTTAAAAAGGAAACACATCAGTGTTGCTCTGAGATCCACAAAGGTTCAATTTATGTTTTGTTTGGAACTACTAGTAAAAACCACTACAAAGATTACATTGATTTATTAATTTGCTTGACCTATTCTTTCAACTTTTATTTAGAGAGAGACCATTTCTAAAATTAAAATTGTGTAGGTGTAAAAATGTAAAAATTTTTATTTAGAAATTAACAGTTAACAGAGTTGGTAACATGTTAAATTGATCAGGAAAAAATCAGTGAATGAGTGAACTTTAAACTTAAATCATTCAAAAGAACTGATTCGTTTACAAACAAAGCAAGTGACTCCGTTTATGAGCAAATCACTGACTCAAATGATTGATTCAAAAAAGAAACACCTCAGTATTGCTCTGATATCCACAAATGGCTATTATCAAGAAGTAAAGCGCTTATATAAGCTCAAATGTATAGCTTAAACATGCAATTAGTCGGAGGTGGACGCCACTGATCCGCCAGCGCTTCTGCGTATATATAGATGTCAAATTGTAGTGATTTTAAATACACATCTGGACTGATCTGCGTCACTATAGGATTTATTTTCAGATTACAGTGCTTTATTCATTCCCTCAGACCTATCATTCAGCTCAGATTTAGAGAGAGGCTATTTCTGAAATGGAAATTGTGTTGGTGTAAGATTGACTATTTTTATTTAGAAATTGGCTTCATTCACAAAATTTAAAGTTGACTCATTCAAAAAAGATTCATTCAGTCAAAAGAGCTGAAGTGACTCTCTTAATGAGCAAATCATTGAATCACTGACATTCAAAATTAGATTCATTGAATAAGGAAACACCTCAGCATTGCTCTGAGATAAACAAAAGTTCTGTTTCTGCTTTTTTGGAACTATTTTTACTGGTGAAATACACAACAATAATGAGATTGCTTTATTCATTTCCTCAGATCTATCATTTCAACAACAACAACAAAAAAAGACAAATAAGCATATCAGGAAGCAGCGTATTAAATAAAAAAAGAAATAAAAAAATAGTTGAAAGATTAAACTTTAAACTTGGTTTAGAGAGCTGAATCGTTTACAATCGTTTACAAACAAAGCAAGTGACTCTCTTTATGAGTGAATTATTGAGTCACTGACTCAAATTATTAATTAAAAAAACTTAACTCCTCAATGTTGCTTTGAGATCCTGAAATGTTTTCCGTTTCTGCTTTGTATGACACTATTTTCATTGGTAAAACACAAATATAAGAGGTGGGCAAACTACGGCCTGCTGAACAACATCATTTAGCCCATGAAGGAGTTTTTAAAATGCTGCTTCTAAAGGATTTGGCTTCAGAATGTATTGCAGTATTGCAGGCGGTACAGTTAGCACCAACAGCAGAATTAGAACACGCTCTCAGATATTAGAATATCCTCAATACTCGTTAATGAGAGGCTGTTTCAATATGTGCTCTTTAATGCATCCTTGTGTTCTCGTGTAACGTCACCATCAACAACCAAAGCTGAGTTCCAAAACTCAAAACCGCTACGGCATGAAAGAACCTGTATGTGTTGTTGATATCGAGGATGAATCGATGCAGACATTAACGTGGTACTTGCTTTTGAAGTCACTGTGGCTAAATAGTGTTGAGAAGTACAGCATTTTATATCTACTTATTTTTAAAATTCAGATATAACTTATTTATTTCAGTAGTTTCCCTAAATGAAACGGTGAAAGTTTTTGCTTACATGAAAATCTTTAAAAAATCCATTTATTTGCTGAAATTTATTAGTATTGTGTAAAGTATATTTGTAAGGCTTTCGTGTGTGCGTTATATAAATTGGCACTCCTCGTTTAAATTAGCAGTCCTCGATTGCATTTGATTAATCAATCGGTTTCTGTTTGCATTGCTTGCTGGTTTGAGCATTTGATTTCTCATTTGAGAATGCATTTTGATTTATAATTTAATAGTTTAATAAACAAACAAAGCAAAAGATACATTTTCTTGTTAAAACAACAACAAAAATAACTTTTTTCCAATGCACTGACACAAGATGCTCGGTTAAAATAAAACATGTGCCTGTTTAACTTTCTAAACAGCAAAGTCCAATGGTTTGTTTAATGTTAAACTGAAAAAATTGTTTTGGAAACCTGCCGGCAGCTACAAATGTGACGTTCACTAACTTGAACATCCATCAAAATCTCTGCATGATTATGCAATGAAACCACAAGATGTTCTAATGTGAATGTGAATTATTCTCACACAGCCAGAAACAATAGTGCATTTGCAAACCAGCCTGAAACTAGCTCACATTTATGCTATAACATGCATTAAGGCTATGATCCAGCATCTGAAAGCTCAAAGTGAAGCTAAAATCACAGCTCACACACACTTCTGACAGCGTGCTTCATGGGAATTGAACACTTGGTGTGTTTAGCATCATGTTTTTAACAGTTAAGCTACAATTTACCACTCAACCTGAAGAAAACACACAGACTAAAACAGTAAGAGAGATGGTTATTTATTTTAATTATGTAGAATCAAAGCAGCCACAATGATGCGTGAGCTCATTGTAAAACAAACACAAAGTCCAACAGCATTGGATGTGTGATGAAGCAGTAAGAATGAGCTATAATTCAAGTTATGAAAGCAAAAACATGCCAGGTATTGTTTGTAAATAGAATGGCATTTTAATTTCACATATTTAATAATATATAATTATCATTAACATGTTGTTTTAATGAACAAATAAGTATCCTACTAAAGGTTTAAACGCATCCAAAGTTAGAAAACATTGCAATTGTCTTAGAATATACATATTAGCAATGCAATATAATATTATTATCATTTTGCAAAGATTTCAATATGAATCACTTGAATCAATTCAGTGATTCTTCAGGTCTGTAAGCCCCTCCCTCTTTCAATAAGCAAACTCTGTTGTGATTGGTCAGCTGAGCAAGTCTGTTTTGATTCGTCTATCGGTCTCTGAATTGGGATGTCCATTTCAGAGTGTGCATATGTTGTGGGAGGTGGGGATTATGCAAATGAGATACTTTGATCGTGTTGTAAATTCAGTAAAAAGAGCCAATTCATTTACAAACAAAGCAAGTGGCACTCTTTATGAGTGAATCAGTGAATCACTGACTCAAATGATTCATTTAAAAAAGATTCATCCAAAAAGGAAATGCCAGTGTTGCTCAGACATCCACAAATGTTATGCTTCTGCTTTGTTTGTAACTATTTGTTGCTCTGATTCATTCTTTTAAGTGCGAAATTATATATATTTTTAAAAACCCATGTGACCTGCTTTTTAATATATTCATGTGATGATAAAGTTTTGTAATATTACGTAAGCAACAGTGTCATTTTACTAAATATCGTTGTGTAAGTTTGAGTGCAAATGTGACACTGATTTAATACAACAGTCCAACTTACAAAAGTTTACAATATAGTGTAATATGTGTACACAATATTTCCTATTTGCTAATTAAAATAAGATATTGTACTTAAATTAAATTTTGCTCAAAAGGTACATCCAAAGCATCACATGCAATTAACAATATGAAAAATAAGAAGAGCAAGGCAGGGGGAATTGGGGAATTAAATTATTGATTATTATTATAATTATTCTTTATTAATTACTTAATAATACAAACGATTTTTTAATAATAATAAAAAAGTTTAAAGCCAGAGCAGAATATTTGTGCCTCTCAGAGTATTCTACTGAATGAATCAACCAATTTTGTTTGAATCATTTCACTTAATGATTCATTCATAAAGTCGCTGATTTAATTTCTGAAAGAGCAGTACAAACTTAAACAAGTCATGGTATCAGTCTAAAAGCACACTCAGATAAACATGCAAATCTCCAATATCAAACACCCCTAGTTTGCATCATTTAAATTAAACAATTAAAGTATGACAGAAGGTACATTTCAATGCATTACGTTTTTTTTTTTTTTTTTTGATCTTTTGAGCTTTGAACTCTGATGATGTTGTGCAGTTTTTGTTGAGATGTACATATGACGACAGCTGTCTATGATACATTATGTTGAATCCCTCAAGACGTGA